TAAGATATATATGTTTACTTAATTTAAAACAATAAATAAATGTAATTACAATCGATTGAGTGGTTTCGGAGTTCATCGCCGACAATGTGATACGAAATTTTTGTTAATTAGAAAATATATCAGAAAGATATTTAACCTTTATATTTTGCTAATAATTTAGCTTTTCCTCCATAAAATCTGATAAATTCCTAAGTGAAGCTGCCTTTGTGGCAGAAAAAGCTTTAGATGCCATTGGTACCTACCACTACGTACGTTAGTAATAAAATTCGATGGGAGATGCCCACGCTTTCAGTAATAAAACCGCATCTTAACGCCTACTTCTTGACACTTTATCTTCAAGATAAAGTTAAACGAGAACCAATATCATCTTAGACCATTAATAACAGTACACGTCCCAAACTTGGGATATTTAATTTTGAATTTTTGTCGCCAAGGTAGCCGATCCACACGCAAGCGTTGCCGGTTATTGACCCGTGCGACAAATTGATATTGGGATTTGGGACGATTTTTAATACAACATTTTTATTTAATTTACTAGCTGGTAGCGTGCACGTTGCAGCCTCTGAGGAAATAATTGTGAAAATGCCTTTTTAAATTTGGAAGAGATATATTGTTTAATTAGTAATAGTAATGCATTCATTGAAGATGAGTGATTTATATTTATACTTTTAAATAATTTTTTCGATACGCGCGCCGTCCATTGTAAATTAATTTTACTATGCCTATAAAGCGCTTATTACATTATACAATTTTTAGGAAATCTAATTAGGAAGTAGGAAGGTGTAATCGTAGTTAGAACAGTTAGGATCCGATTTAGTCAAATTGGAGGTCCCAATCGCTCTACTTCCTAAATTGTTTACAATTTAGGACAGTGTAATCGCAACGTTACGATTTAGAACAACCAGTCGGCGCCCGCACTTTGATGCAAGCGGATGTCTTGAAGTTTTGATAGAAGTCTGATATCAGAGAACAGTACTTTAAATCTTAATATTAATTTCCGGTGGCTATAAAACGTAATGTCACCCTCAAACATTCTTTGGTACTCACACTTTATCGAAATTTCGTGACTTCTTTTTCAATATGTTTGGATACCAAACTTAACAAATAATCAAACTGTTTTATGGGTGGTAGAGCCATGCTGCAGTTATATTAGTAGTATAGTTGTAGCACGAATGGATCGGCTCGACCGAGGAAGCACCACGCTCTCACAGAATACCAGCGTAAAATAGTAGCTTAATGTTGCTGTGTTTCGTATGGCGAGTGTAGAGAACCGGAGACCCTTTACTGGAAACGTGGCATTCCATTAGTCGTCACAGGTGACAACGCAACTGCATTTTGTTCATATTGGACAGTTTTTTTCTCAATGACAAGTACTCTTTTCTCTTTTTAATATCCATTGCTCCCACCATGGCTAAGGCAAGACTTATTTTCTGCTGTTTTAATAAATACGGCGCCATCGATCAAACGTGCAACCCCGTCAATACTTCTTTACGAATGCGCTTCGTCACGATTTAGAATTCAATTTAGTGTAATGTGATCACTAGCTTCCAATTTAGGTTCCTAATTAGATTTTCTAAAAATTGTATAATAAATAATAATAAATGTAATAAGCGCTTAACCTTTGGTCCTTCGCACAAGTTCAACTTGAAGACCAAAGGTTATAAGTTGACAAAGTTCTACCGCAATCTGACTAGCGCTATGAAAGCGCATAAAATACGTACAAATAAACACCAATTTGTATATATTAGATGTTGACTGTTGGTTATTTAGGTTGACTATCAGCTTGTTTGTCATTTTTTATACAAAATTACGGTGGCAAACTAGGACCAGATCATCTGATAGTAAGTGGGTGCTTCGGCCCATAGACATCCTCCCCCCCCCCTCTAACGAGGACTAAGAAGGATTAACTCGTTTCCAACAAAAAGCGTCTCTGGTTCTCTACACTCACCATATAAAAGACGTTTAATCATTTTTGGCTGCATCTATCTTTACCATCAGGTGGGACAGTAGTGAAGCACTGGCTTGGAATAAAAAAAATACAAAATAAATTAAGCTGCTTTTTCAGCTAGTATTCTGTGAGAGCGTGGCCCTTTCCCGGTCGAATCGACCTATACCACCATAATATGACTGCAGCATGGTGCTACCACGTAACCTTTACTTGTATAAACTGTTTAACCAAATTTGGTTGCACAGAGAACAGGTTTAGCTTTGTATTACGAGTTTCTAACTCTTTTAATCCAATGTTTGTGTCGTTTTAACTGTTTGCTAAGCTTCCACGATACCTATTTTATTTTTTATAAACACAGGGAATTTCTCCAGTTCCATAGAAGCGTAGGCGTTTTAAATATATAAATTACACACGGATGAATACTTGTAGGTTTGATTCCTGCAATCATCAATAAAATTGTTAATTGCAATATTAAGTGCTAATTTACCACGTACTTGAAAGGTAAAGGAATACAGCGTGTGAAAACCAATCTCAGGTCGTGCAAAAAATGAGTTTTTCTGTCAAAAAATCAGTAACAGCCCGAGGACATTATTATTAAATCAGAATCAATCAAATAAATACGAAAAAAGGTATAAAAAGATTGAATGAAAATTATTCGGTTCTATTCTATTTTATACTCTCACCTTTATAACACGGGACATCTGTCCTCTTTTAGGGACTATAAAAAGCAGAACGTTATTCTATCAAAGCTCTTCTGATAACTGCTGTACAATTATCAAAAAGCTTTTCCGCAAAAAGGTTCCGCACGCAGTGGTAAATATTTTCCATGTATTCAACTCCCGGGCACGAATTCGTAACTGGAAAGACAGCTCAAGAGTCAACAAAAAGTTATTGAGTTGAGTCAGAAGCTGCCAGGTCGTAGACTCTGGGTCAACAATGCCTTTAATCCATAATGTAGCAAAGAAAATAAGTATTTAATGTATTTATGATGATGGATTATGGTGAATTCTCCATGGAAAAGGATAAAACGTTTTTAGTAGTATAAGTACCGCAGTTATATCATCTGATGATGAATGATATAATTGAGGTCTGCTAAAAAGATATCATACTCGTATATTTAATACAAAATCCTCATCTCCTACCTCGGTAGAAAGATAGTAACATAGTTTACTGAATATATACTAGAGACATAGTAAGTAAGTATAGAAACATAGTTTCAACCTATAAAAATAATGAATAGATAATTTGTGTTTTACACGAAATAAAATCTTAGCACCGTTACCTCTGCAGGAATAACTTGTGTTGGAATATGTATTATTAGCACGTAAAAGTATGCAAATTTCGTTTAACGATTTCGCGGAACAATCACATTAGGTAAGGCCCCATCTCGGTTTGTGGCTTTGACAATTTGTGTTTTCCCTCCAATATTTTATTGTTTACAATTACAACTTTACAAGAACTTACACGAGATTTATGATGATTTATAAATAAAAATGTTTATTGGGTATTTCTGGCCTATAACAAAAACTTTTAAGTTTATGGGGAATAACATAAAAACAAAAAGTTCTCATAAGAAAACATAGGTAGGTCACATAGATGGCCACAAATTATGATAAAAATCGTTTTTTTTTTCTGAACATATATTAGTAGGTACCTGGACTATTAAAGCTTGTTTGGTGACAAATGATACAAGTAAAGATAAACTTAAAAATTATACCAACTAAATGTAAATTTTCATCTAAATTATTAAAGCCGCTTTCAATAAACCAATTACATATTATGTATAGATCTTTATATAAAAATTTTCGTGCCACATTGCATTGTTTGTCCGTGATTAAATCTTAAACTCCTAAACAACTGACTATAACGAAATTTTGTACCTATGTGTATTCCTTGCTCCAACTTGAGAGATAGGATAGTTTTTGTTAATATAAGTCGATAAAAGATCCTCAATATTTTATTGCCCCTTTAAATATTTTTTAAATGACTAAGTGTCGTCGTAAAGGACAGAACAAAGTCTGTCTGGCCAGCTACTATGAATATATACAAGAATTGCTCGCTTAAAGTATTAAGGTAATAATAATAATAATTTTGTACGTGGTAAGGTGGTACGTGGTAGAGCCATGCTGCAGATATATTAGTAGGAGGTACAGTTGTACCGACATAGCCCAGCGGATTAGTAAGCTGAAGTGGCAATGGGCCGACTATATAGCTCGAAGAACCGATAACCCGTGGGGAAGAAAGGTTCTCAAGTGGCATCCTCCCGATATACCGATAGGCGTAGTGTAGGGCGACCCCCCACTAGATGGAGTGACGACCTGGTAAGACATGCAGGAAGTCGATGGATGCAGATAGCTCAAGACCGTGCTTAGTGGCATTCCTTGGGGGAGGGCTATGTTCAGCAGTGGACTTGTGAAGGGCTGTAATGATGATGATGATGATGACAGTTGTATCACAAATGGGTCGGCTCGACCGGGGAAGGACCACGCTCTCACAGAATAGCAGCGTAATATAGTAGCTTAATGCTGCTGTGTTCCGTATTGTGAGTGTAGAGAATCAGTGTCCCTTTTTACTGGAAAAGAGGTATTCCATCTTAGTCCTCACGGGTGACAACGCATCTGCATTTTGATTCGTAATCAAGGATAGATGTAGATGTCTATGGGCCACAGCAACCACTTACCATCAGGTGGACTGTGTGCTCGTTTATCACACTATCCTATAAAAAAATACATATACTTAGACTGTATTATAAAGTGTCAATGAATAAGACATGTAAATTTAGAAATGCTGTGAACATTTTGCAAAAATAATTACTTACGTTTGCAATAGAGAAAATATCCTGCGTAATGAAGTGAAATTTCTGCGTTGTAGTTAGTTCATAGGTCATAACGTGAGAGTGAAGCCGCGCGCATCCGATAGTTCAAAACACAAATAGTGACAGAAGCATTTAGCGAGACGCGGATGCACGGAGAGCCGGTCAGCCGGCACCGTTAGGCCTCTCATATAAATGTAGAGCCTCCGATGGCCCGGTTAGTAAGCCGCGTCGTCAGCCATGAGATTGTACGCATTAATTTTCACCCTGGCCGTGGTACACGCGCGCGCCGCCTGTGTCCCGATCGAAGCGGAAAAACCCCAAGCCGATGAAATTATTAAACACGAAGAGAACAAAGAAATTGTCGAACAACTGAACAATGCTGACAAAGTTGAAAACAATTTACGCAATATTCCCGAAAATATCCCCGTCGCGATCGTAGAAGACACAAAACCGGCGCAGGAAATTAACGAAAACTCTAACGACTACATACCGAGCGACGATGAACCGAGCATTAACATCAAGCGAGTGGAGATTGACTTGAAAAACCCGGGACCGCCGCAGCGGCAAGAGCACGAAACCCAAAATCCAGAATTTTACGCCGAAAGGAACAACTTGGTGGCGGACATCAGACAGAAACTTCTAGATACTGAAAATAATGTCAAAAAAAGCGTATCGGAGGTGAACGAAGGCTTTGAAAACTGGGTCCCGAATACCGAACACCTAACAGTTATTCAGAAAGACATTAAGGAAATGCAAAACAAGTTTCTCACGCAGGTCTCAAATCTAAGGCTGACGCTGGAGGGTTATCTTAGTCCTGAGAGTATTAAATCGGATACAGTGGACACAGAGTATGTCGCGAATTTGAGAGACGTCAGGAATAGGTTGAAAATATTAGAAGTCAACTTTAAGGCGGGCGTCGAGACTTTGTCCGAAGGTGTTAAGACCTTAGCAACTGCGAAAGCGGATGGTGAAAAACCTGCCGAAACGGGCTCACCAAATCCGGCTCCAGCCAATCCTTCTGAACCTCCTACTAATCCATTTAGTCAGATGCTCTTACAGCTTTCGAATGCAATTGGAGACGCTTTTAACGGTATGCAGTCTGCTATACAATCTATCACCAACCCTCAGAACCAGACCCCACCAGTCGGGACTCAATCTGATGACGCTGCTACCCCCGCCCGGCCTTCCATGTGGGAGGTTTGGCAATCGCAGTTTCAAAGTTTTATAAACCAATTCAGACCTCAAGTAAGTCCTGCCACAAATGTTGCCGAAGCCAAACCACAAAACAGTCAACCAGCACAGGCAGTATCAGCGCCAGCTCAACCAGTCCAGCCGCAACCTGTACAACCACTAGCAGCACAATCACAAGCTGTACAACCTGAGTCAGTACAGCCTCAACCTGAGTCAGTACAACCTCAACCTGTACAGCCACAGCCAAGTCAAGAAGCACAGTCTGAGCCAGCCGAACCACCTAAGGAAACCCCAGCCTCAACTGCTCAAACTGGTCCCATCAGAAAAATCGTTGAAAATAACCCCTTTGTGAAGGGTATCGTACAGAGAATACAGAGCATATCAAACCCAGAGAAGCCACGAGATAATGTACCAGTACAGCCCCCCAAGTCTGTTAAGCCCGAGGAATCCGTCAATGAACCCATTTCTGCGACAAAAGGTCACGGCGGCGGAGGGAGTCAAGCTGGTGAGTTTGAAAATAAATATTTATGACGCGTATAAAAATGGTAAATTTCAGAATTTTATTTGAAAAAAACTGTAAACAGCCATTTACAAAAAGTTTTTTATTCTTAAATAACTTTTGACATCAAAATAAATAAAATTATGTTACAGAGAAATTCTAAAAAAAGTCAATTGTATAGTGCAATAAATTCATACACATATATGGACTTAATATTTGGTTCATCTCTGTCAAAATCATGTTACATCTTTATCACGATACAATTCATGTTATAATAAAGTTGAAAATAAAATACATAAAAGCACACAATAAATATTAGTACTACGTACATAAGGAAACTAAGTTTCTTATAACTATATTTTAGAACTATTTGGGCGTGGCCAAAGATATCCTATTGAGCACACAGTCCACCTGCTGTTAAGTGGTTGCTGTGGCCCATAGATATCTACATCGATCCCCAATTAAGGATCGCGGATAGATGGCGATTCGTTGTCACCCCCGAGGACTACGATGGAATGTCTCGTTTCCAGTAAAAAGGGTCTCCGGTTCTCTACACTCACCATACGCAACAAAGCAGCTTTAAGCTGCTATTTTACGCTGGTATTCTGTGAAAGCGTTATCCTTCCCCGATTAAGCCGACCCTTTCGTGCTACAATCACAATACAGCTGCAGCATAGCTCTACCACGTTAAAGACTTATACGCTCTTATATTTAAGTGTCCATATGTTAGTCATGCACACCACACGCTCAGGCTCCGCCCCTCGCATGCTTGTTAATTTCTACACTAACGTATGTACAGTGTTGCCAAGTCTAGTTAGTAAAACACGTCCGAAATTTGGCTCAAAGTAGCTTTAAGTTGCCTAATTTTTTGGAAACGAATTTTCTTTAAAACGTTTTTATTTGAAATCAGAAAGTCGCAAAATTCACAGTTTTTTTTTATTCCGAATTTCATTAAAAAATAACTTGGCAACATTGCAGTACACTTAATTCTTGGTATCTACATAAACATCCATTATCTATTCACTTTTCTAATCATACTTCTATTTCAGCACATATATACACCTGTTCAATGCATGATTCTTGACTTCCTTCTCTAGTCACAGCATGGAGCTCTTTCGTCACAGCTCTCATAGGTACAATAGGTGCTGTGGTGAATGGCACCACCTCGACAGTTTCCACAGCAGTTAATAGCGCCATTAATACTATAGGCATGAATATTCAGGTACTGACGAGGATATTTTTGTACCCCCTGTTTGTGATTGACAAATTGCGTGGGGAATTAATATAAATGTTTATGGTAGCTACTCGTAGGTGTTGAAATCTGTGTCAATGTGTGGTTTTAAATGGGACATTTAAATTAACCTCTATGTAACAAAAAATTAACACACTTATAAAAAAAAACATTCAATATTAGTTACGAATACCTATTAATAACGCTATTGTAGGTTTAATAACGCTTTTTTTGTATAATATGATACGTTAATGGTGTTAAAATACGATATCTTAAGCTCATTAAAAGTAACTAAAACATTAAACTACCAACCCGCTCACCAAGCCTGTCAACTGGGTAAAACCCATGACGCAATCTACAGGGAGGTTTATGTTCAGCAGTGGACTTTAATAGGCTGTGATGTTAGGATGTATAATATTCAGTATATTTGTGTATATACTGGATGACCTTTTCTACCGTCTGGAAAAAAATAGGTGTAATATGTGAACGGGGTAGAAGCTTATGGCTTAATTAAATAAATAAATTAATTAAAATCTATGGAAATTTACATCATATCCACCCATATACTTTACGAACGGCAATAAAACAATTTTATTAGGCATCTTTGACCTTGTCACTTCGCAAGGGACGGGCTAGGGTGTATTAGGGTAATTTATTTATTTCATTCAAAAAAATTGTTTTTATTTTTTGTAACATATCAGTGCCATAGGCTTCTACTCCGTTCACAGTTACACCCTATTTTTTACAGACGGTAAAAAAAGTTAAATATATTTATTTAAACAGCTGCAACATGGCTCTACCACGTTAAAGACTCAAGATTTCAATATATATATGTATATAAATAATATATGTATGTAAATCCTCTAGGAGTCCGTTTTGGTAGCCATCGCCCCCTTACCTAATTTTGCCGCCAAATAGCAGTGCTTTCACTTCCGGTGTTAAGAATATAGAGCCACATTATTTACAATACTGTACTGAACTGTAGCCTTCTTTGTTTTTTTTTTTTTTTGTCTGATCACATACAACTTGTGCATCTTATTTTTAATTTATTTGAGAGACTTTTAGGCAACTAGGTACAAAATATTTTATACAGCTGTAATATTCACGGAGGGAAAATACCTATTTTTCATTCATTTTTGAACAGTGTTTTTTTACATTTTGTATATTTTTTTGAAGTTTTTAGTCCTTTAAAAAAACTTTAAAGATTAAAGTCCTTTAAAATATTAGATAAAACTTTGCATAGGTAACCGATTAATAGGTAATCTTTCTTCAACATTACTAACAAAATTAAAAAGTTAAACGCTAAACTTTTAACAAAAATACATGTACTAATATTGTATAAAAATTAGTAATACTTATTTTATTTCCTTTTTTCTAATCATAAAATTTTCATCAAATATTTTGAGAATATTTCTTCAATAAATTAAAATTGGTCATTCGAAGATCAATCGAATATGTATCTATTACTTACACAGACAATAACCTTAACTCACAGGAAAAACAATAGCTTTAACAATAAATATAAAATATACACATTATATAATAAATACAATAAATATATCTATTTTCAGGCGATAATATCGACAGCGGCAGGATAGCCATGAGCGTACCCAGCGAAGAGAAGGTCGAAAAAGTTCCACAGAAGTGTGAAAAAGACAAGGATGTAGAATTAGCAGACGAGAAGAAGGAGAATGAAGCCGTGCCTGATAAGACTGAATAGGTCCATAGTGTGATAGTAAAAGTAATAATTTATTAATTCTCATATAATGATTACAGTAAAATGTAAATAAGTAATAAAGTAAATGAAAAAATATTTGTTTAGTTTCTTTCAAATAACTCGAAAGTATACCTTTCAAAAAAAATTTTTTCTTATAATATTTCCGACCATTTTATTAAATTAATGCTGCTTCATATCCTGGTGACAGGACATGTCTGTAGGATTTGGAGTCAACATTTTTGGGTTTAAGATCATTCGACAGAATTTATTTTCAGTGCAACCTGTAATATGATTCTGTAACTTTGTTAGAAATCATTTTTTATAGAATAAGGGTGACAAACGAGCACACAATCCACCTGATGGTAAGTGGATGTTGTGGCCCTAGACATCCACATTTATCTTCAATTAAAAATCAAAATGCAGATGCGTCGCCAGCCCTGAAGACTGAGATGGAATGCCTCGTTTCCAATAAAAAGAATCTCCGGTTCGCTACACTCACCATACGAAATAGACCAGCATTAAGCTGCCATTTTACGCTGGTATTCTGTGAGAGCGTGGTCCTACCTCAGTTGAGCCAACTATTTGTGCTGCAACCACAACATAACTGTAGCATAGCTCTACCACGTAAAAAAGTTGTCAGTGGAATCACTCCACAACTACGTTTACATTTATTATACATAATCTATAATATTAATTTTGTGTAACCTATAATATTATAGTCATATAACAAAGGTACCACATACTGTAATATATTACGATACAACGAAACCGCTTGGCTGTCTCGTTGTTTTAGCGAATGCCAGGTTCGAATCCAGGGTTGATCCAAAATCAGTTACTGGGTTTTTCTAATAAGCAAGAAATTCTCATTCACTTAATTTCACCTCCGTGCCTAGGAAAACACGTAAAACCATTGTTTCTGAGGATTTTCTCTCCGTCATGTCTGATTGCCATTCCATCGGACTACGAGAGTGTGGGAATAGATGGTGCACCTACGCTCGTGCCCTACAATCCTGTCCTGCTACTTGGTCTATGCTGCGTAGGACGTTTTAAATGAACGACATTTTTCCAAAATTTTCCTCAATCATCACAAGGTTGAGAATTAATCGTTGATGGCATAGCAGCATTCGGAAATTGATTACTTACATATACATGCCTGGCCTGTCACCCAGAGGGGTAGGCAGACACTACAGACTTTCATTTAGCATGATCCTGACAACTTCTTCACCTCCTCCACATCCATATACCTACGCATACATGCTCGTCGGTTAAGGGTACTCTTAATTTGGCCTATTTTTAATATATCACCAATTCGGTCGACAAACTTTCGCTTAGGACGTCCCGTTTCGACTCTTCCATTCACTTCTGCAACATATATTTACTTTGTCAGTCTTTCCTCATTCATTCTTTCTACATGACCAAACCACCGAAGCATTCCTTTCTTAATCCTGGTCACCGCAACATCTTGCAAATCACACTCTTCTTTTATCACACAGTGTCTCAGATTATGGGCTTATTTTATTGGCTCTATATTTATACCAAAAATCTGACAGCGTCAAGTATTATGCATTTGTTGTTGTTTACTAATGTAAAAACGAAACGTTACAAGTGTATCGACATAAATCTTAGGTTTTTATCGACTTAAGGGTCTTGAGATATTTTCGTCGTAAACTGTCCGCTGGGTTAAGCTGCTGTCAAAGTTCACTCCCAAAAACAGAATATTGTGAAGTTTTATGAACAAAAATACGAATTCCGCTGTATGTATTATGATCTTCGCCTACCTAAGCCAGCGAATCGCTGAAGCAAATTGACATAGTGTTCTGTGCAAATTGACCTTAGCCTTAGAGTAATTACTCTAAAGATTACCAATGAGGACTTGACTTATACACTGCAAGCATTGCTCATCCTCGGTGCTCTCACTGGTGAAAAATTCGTTTTGTTATGGACTACCAGTACACGGCTGAAGTACCCTATGGAAATATATGGCGTAATAAATCGCCGCCATTTTTGTACTGTGAGCTTGCGCGATAAGGTGCTCCCAGTACTTTGATCTATAATGTAGGTTAATATAACGCATAGCACCATATTATACCACGCTATCACTCCATAGCGCATAGAGCGTGCTATGTAAGTAGCCGCCATGACACTATGGCGCTTTGGCGCTTTTAATATCTAGCGGCAACTAATTTTAGCAGTAACAGCGCTGCTAAAAGTGGACGTGTGACTCAAATTTGATCTAGTAACACGCTATTCATCGCGTGCGACGTAATTAAGTGTTAGACGTTGTTTAGTTAGTGTATACTGTATATTTCGGTTAGTTCGGCAACGCACCTGCAATTCCTCTGGTGTTGCGGATGTTCTTGGGCGGCGGTAGCCACTTAACATCAGGTGAACCGCATGCTCGTTTGCCCCCTCTTCTATAAAAAAAAATTATAGGTGATCGAAGGACAAAAAAAGAAGACGGTTATCTGCTACAAAAAAATCTTAACTAATGTTTTAAATGTAAATAAAATAAAGATACAAAAGTATATAATAGTGTATGTAAATAGATGATTTTTGTATACACAATCAAAGAAATTTTAAATACACTTCAATTGATTATAGTTTCCATTAAGGTTAAAATAAAGTTTACATCGATTATAGACAGTTGTAAGCCTGAAAAGTATAAAAGAGTGTTTATTGGTTTTTCTTTCCTGCTTTATTTTATTTTAGTCTCAAATGCGACTTATTACGAAATAATATTCTTATATAGCACGCGGTCACTTCAACGAACGACACACGACATGTAATGTAACGTGCTACGAGATTTAGCGTGCTGCAAAACTTTACGTGCTTGCCGGTCTGCTACACGCTTTCTTATAAATAGCGCGCTATAAAATAGCGTATTTAAGAGTCCGTATATTGATATTTTGGTGATATTGAGCGACCTGGATCTCGGTATCTATAAGATCTAAGAGTTTGCTATTTGAAAACATTAGACTTATAATCTTCAAATCTATTGAAGCGAAAACACGATTCGACAAAAAATTTATTTAAATTTTTTGCGAATAGGAAGGAAGGAAGGGCGTTATTTTATTCTAAACGAGCACACTCTCTTTCTGATTCTTATTTTGCACACAGTAGCCAATAGCGCTATACTTTTCAATTTTTTCAATCAGTTTATCAGTCTGCTGCGGCATCTGTTGCGGGACGATCCTATGTTTAGCGATATTACATAGAGAAATAACCAGTATAAGCTGATCTCGCATTGTGGCTTTCCGTATAATGAGGGGTCAACTTATAATAGAAAATTTAACTTGACTAGGTGTTAATTGTACAATGAAAGGGGAAGTGGGTGCGAAATTAGAATTTGAGCTGAGGTAGTATGGGCTCTTAATAGCGCGCTAGAAATTTATAGCTTATAGTCAGTAGCGTGCTATTGATCTATAGCCGTTTTGAACAACTTTAATCACGTGATCAAAAAACGTAACAGCGCCTAGAAATTTAAAAGCTTCTATGAATGATTGTTATTATTATTAATTAACATTGTTATTCAAACAAAAAAATCGGACATTATGAAGTAGTAGGAAGTAAATATTTTCTATTGAAAATAGTTTCGAAAAATATGGATGACAGTATAATGGACTGCGTTCCATTTTACACAGTAGCCACTATAGCAAACTAAAAAGAACGACTTCGTAGTATACTGAATTGACCTCACATCTTACAGTAGGTGCATGGAGCATAGAGGTAAGGAGGACAATCTTCCTTAAGAGAATAGTTAAAAAGGTGTCCTTCTGTAAGCAGTAAATAACAGTTCAAAAACTCTCCACAACAGCCCCGAGTAGCTACAGGGTATGTATATAAATAGCCGTAAAATACGTTGAGAGTGATTTTGAAAATAAAAATTTTAGAAGCAACAAAATAATTATTGTAAAAAGAATTATGGTGAATGTCTGTGCAAAAAAAATATAAAAAGTACTTTAAAATTTACACTGTAGCTACAGTGGCGCCACGTATTTAGTGCTTTCCAGGGGGGGGGGGTACACTTCCATACTTTAGGTTGGGATTCAATAATTTGCAAAGACACTAGTGCCATCTTGTACTATATCCCCATAAACTTTCGAACATTAAATTCTAAAAGGTGCGCTAGGTGGCGACTACACCAATTCTGATTATTCTCGAACTGGTAAGTAGCAACTTTATATGACATAATGGCTACCGGCGCTGAACAAGATGTTGTTTTATTATAGTTTATAAGTGATTTTCGGTTGTTGCTACAATAAGTTTGGTTGAGTTAGGATTAGCCCTCTGTTTCTTTGTTGTCTGTTTAGATTTTCATGCTGGAATTACTTTGTATGTTTGTGTAGTGTTGTGCGAAATAGACGCTTTCATTTATCATTCCGGTAACCCGGTGGACATATTTAATTTGGTTTGGTGTTGTATTTTGCGGAATAGACGCTTTTATATCATGTACGTTAAATATATATAACAAAAATAAATGTTAATATTACTGAAATCTATAATACGTCTTTAATTGAACCCTAATCCCTTAAAATATAAATATAACCGCCTATAGTATAGATAGCTGTATATACATAACTACATACAGCTATCTATAGTCAACATGATATTGAGATTAGTTCAAGGGATATGATCACAGAACACTATTACTCCTATCGGAGGATATGATACCAGGCGGCGACACTATTCATATTGGGTGACAAAAAATCCTAGAAGATGGCTCTCTATTTCTGTATATATTACTCTACTCTATGGTGCTTTCTCACTTACACTTTTATACAGAGACTGTACTCCTTACCTCTACACTCCATAAGTGGGTGGTCACCATCACAGAGTAAGTACTTTCTAATATACTGAAATTCACCACTGACAGGGTATATATATTATATCTCTATGGTAGTCACGGGAACCATTAATTATATACTTACGTATGTACTCTGAGACAGGAACACGCCCTTTTGAAAGTTTTGGCGGGAACTTGGCCGTAGACAGATTGTCGCTCCTGTTTTGTCGCTTGAATAATAGTTTGAAGTGGATTTTAATTCGTAAAAGTGATGTGATTTTGTGAATTAAGTGTCCGCGCGTGTGAACTATTGAGAAAACGACAAAACAAGTGCTTTGAAGTCGATATAAAACTCAAGTTATTTTGATCGCTTAGGCGCCCTATGAACTTGAGTGGCTGTCATCATCAATTGTCCGCTAGGTTGAGCTATCGTCAAAATCTCCTAAGGGCTTCGCAATGTGACGAATCAGCATTTTTTGAAGAAAAAGAATATAAAATGAAGATTCCGAAAGAAATGATAGGTTCAGAAGGGCTAGAACCCAAAGGCGTAAAGCCAGTTAATAAAAAAACACGCTCTTTGACAGTTGACACTTTACATTGACAGTGACTTTCCAACTTTCCAACCATAGAGTAGAGTAATATTGTTTCCAACTTTCCATGTGTTTATTTGTTTACAATACAAATTCGCCTAGTATTTAATTTATAATTTTTATATACTAAATATCCTAAACCTCATAATGAACGGTCTTACGCTAAGGATAAGTGGAAGCAGTTCCAAAAAAATAAAGGGCACTTTAGCATACACTCCAGTCATTATACCTAAACATTTATTAGCAAAAACAGGTTAGAACTTTTCATTCTTTATTATTACTACATAATACAAATTTAAATAAATAAAAGCAGAATAAAAGAAAGAGCATGATACTAACTTGTCATTATTTGATATTCCTGGGAATTCCCAGCCAAAAAAAAATACTTTTGCAAAAAGATTAATGAATGGTTTTCAGCCCCAAATGTGATTCAATAGTCCCCATGCCTCATCTCCACGCCTCACCTGCTAAAAAGCCTAATTGATTAAAACTACTTTTGCGGATTTTATAGCTTTTCATTTAGTTTATTTTAAATACCCGACGTTAGCTTTTCTAGATGTGTTAGTCATCCGAAATCCTAACAACACCATAGGTCTTACTGTGTATAGAAAAAAGACCCATACAAACCGATATTTAAATGGTGATCTCTTAATCTCACCATCATCCTTCACAGTTAGCTACCATAGGCAAATCACAGTTATCTGTAGTGTTCGCATAAATATAAGAAATAATTTTATGTAAAAAGTCTAATTTTAACTTTATCATATATTACTTTCCAATTGGCTAAATTAATTTGAGAAATGGAAAGAGTATCTGTGTTTGCACTATATAGATGAATGCAGGTGTCTCAAGACTGTGCTTTGTGACAATCTAGTAAAGCCTATAATCAGTACTGGACTTTTTATAGGTAGGTATAGATTTTTGCAAACTGAATAACTTCCTAAACTATTATGTTGTTTCTTTTTTTTATAGGAGGGGGTGACAAACAAGCATACAGTCAACCTGATGGTAAGTGGTTGCTGTGGCCCATAGATATCTACATCTGTCCTCAATTACGAATCAAAATGCAGATGCATTGTCACAAATGAGGACTTAGATGGAATGCCTCGTTTCCAAAAGGGTCTCACGTTCTCTACACTCACGATATGAAACACAGCGACATTAAGCTACTATTTTACACTTGTATTCTGTGAGAGTGTGGTCCTTCTCCAATCGAGCTGACCCATTCGTGCTACAACTATATACTACTTGTATAAGTGTAGCATGGCTCTACCACGTATAAAAAATGTTTATGTAGGTACAAAGTTATAGCATTATCTTGGCTAATTTTCAATTCCTGCAGTACCTCTATAATTACGAAAGGCTATGAACAGTATTGGAGATATTATAGTTCTAAAAGTAACCAAAATATACTGGATGATTGTTTACTGTCTGAAAAAAATAGGGTGTAACAAGAGAACGGAATAGAAGCCTACGGCACTGATATTTTACAATATTTTTTTTTGTTTTACATTAACTATATAATCAATAAATACTACTAATTGGGTACATATTATTTTAATTTCGATAATATTTAATTGATTTATTTATTTAGTTCAAATACTCTTTTGTTAGTTTTTTAGTACCAAAAGTTTATTTCTAATTAGTAGTATTTATTGATAGATCAATTTCGTAGCATTTTAATGTAAAATATCAGTGCCATAGGCTTCTATTCCCTTCACCTATTACATCTTATTTTTTGCAGACGGTAAAAAGAATCACCTGGTATATTAAAAGTTTTTTAGTTAGTAGGACTCCTCTTCTGGCTTAGAATCTATCTGGGTAGATTCTTTTAAAAGTTTCAGCCACCAAGAAACCGTGCATGCACTGCTGTGATCCAGTCTGAAGTTTATTAACAGCCAGAGTAATTACAGACTGTAGGCATTCCATCTTAGTGTTCAGACATGACAACTGCTGTAGCCTTCTTTGTTAGATGGTTGCAGGTTTCTATGAGCTGCAGTAGCCAATTATATTTAGATGGGCTGTATGTTCAATCGTTATGTCAGTTTTGTACAAAGGAAGTTAATAATTTGTCTTCAAACAAAGGTTGACCTGAAATTCAAACTCATTTCAATTATGTTTATTTTATAATTTTAACTTGGATATATGTAATATTCCATTATTTTATTTATATGTTAAATATTATATTATTTTCAATCAAATACTATTTGCATAAAATGCATATATTACATTATCTCACTCACCCTTATTCTATAAAAAAATATGTGTGGCACTCAGGGGGCTGTCATGGTAAAACTATTGCATAGCATTTTTCACAACTTATGCAATTATAATTATTTATTTATTTTATTTATGCAGTATTTTTTTCTTTGTTTTTTTTTCTTTAATATTAATTCAAGTTACATTTTTTGAGTGTGGTGACTGATAAGAAAACAATTTTTTTTTTGCGTCAAAAAATGAGAAGTCAATATTGTTTAAAATATTTTTATTATCTTACAATATATGTAGGTTATTCAGGATTTTTTATCATTGAAACTATATGTTTATGGTAACTGAAATAAGAAACATAAGTTTGAGACTTGATATCCTCTAAATATCTGGAGAATACTGCGGTCCCATATAGTGGTCCCATATTCCGTTGTGGATTCTTGTGGATCATTATTCATTTTCAAATTCCTAGTCTACACGCATACGTCTAGTCACACGCATACAAACACCGTGCCGAAGTCTGCCGAAATGAAACGACGTTAGATGATGCACGGCTTTCAACCCCTCACCGCTGTGTCGATCGGAGTATTGTTAGGTTTATTTTCGTTACGGAATTTCTTGATTCAGTCACCGCACTCAAAGCCCGCGATAAAAGCTATGCAATAGCTTAAAATCCAGGATCTGCAGGGTATAAGAGTACCTTAATCCTAGGCAATGCAGATTGTCATCATATACACTATTACTGTCACTACCGTCCATCATAATTCCACTGCTGAACATAAGTTTCCCCCATAGATTGCCACAGAGTACAGTCCTGGACCACCTGCATACATCAATTATCTGTATGTTTCATCAGGCCATCATGTAGTGGGGGGGGGGGGTAATACAATACTCTTGATTTGTAACCCTTAATTGAAGGTATTTGCAACAAAGGATAAATAAAAAACCTAATAAAATACTATTTTATATGTAATTTCAGGTGATGAAAATATATTGGTTGAAAAGTTCCAGAAATGTCATAGTGTTGATGAACAATTATCTGTATTGAAAGAAAACCTGCATACTTCTGATGTCATGACATTAAATTTTCTAGTTATAATATTCCTTTTAGCTGAAATGAAGCATCCTGTTAAGTGTTTTCTAGTAAGGCAAGTATTTTACTTTTAAGCTCTAAAATTTATTTAAAAGTATATAAAAATTGTAATAAAGATGTAGGTATAGAAATAGAAGTATTAGAAAACCCTGTCTTTTATTTCTGTTTCATATAATGTGTTTTCTTTCGTATTATTCACAAAATATTAATTGATGTTAGCTATTAGATTACATCAGAAATAGAGATGTCAAATTCACTTAATTTCAATTCACTTATGGACTTATAATCATTGATTATCGATTACTTAAATTAAGTATTGATTATATTTATATGTATTTTTTTCTATTGTCATTTAGTTAGAAGACACAGAGCAGCTTTAAGTGTTTCTTAAATTGATGTCGATATTTATGATAAAATTTTTAAATAAAAAAAAATAATTTTCTACAGGTATATATCAAAAAATAATAACCTACAAGAATCATTTTCAAAGGCTCTTGCATCGGAGATATTGTCCTACATTTCTGTCAAAAATGTGGATTGTAAGGTGTACATGGAAATTATCCCGAGAATAGCGAGTTGCATAGAAAACTTTCCAGCTGGAGGCATGGCTATAAAGCAAATTAAAGTAGAACTTTCAGAGTACTTGGCACAATGCTTGCAATGTTGCGTTGAAACTTTAAGGTATGGAATTTAAGTTTTTATTAAGTGTGCTTTATCAGTCATCCTCCCATTTCTGTGACAGTTATGAAGTAGAATCCACAATGCTGCTTAAATGACATTTAAAAACGGATTTCCATTTAATCCTTATACTAGTAGTTTGATGATCACAGTACAAGACTTCCCACCATTGATGTTTTTCTTTTATAGAATAAGGATGACAAACTGGCACACAGTCCACCTGATGGTAAGTGGATGCTGTAGCCCATAGACATCATATTCATCTTAGATTAGGAATCCAAATGCAGATGTGTTGTCACCCCTGAGGACTTAGATGGAATGCATCGATTACTGACTATGTACTAGAGATGGAATGCCTCGTTTCCGGTAAAAGGGGGTCTCCGGATCTCTACACTCACTATTCGAAACATAGCAACATTAAGCTGCTATTTTACGCTGGTATTCTGTGAGAGGGTAGTCCTTCCCCGGTGGAGCCGACCCATTCGTGCTACAACCATAAAATTGCTGCAGCGTGCACTACCACATACAATCACAACAAATGTCTAGTGTAAACGAGATGGCTGTACCGCTATTTATAAGCCATGGTATTTTTTACATATTATTTTTTCCTATCCTAGAGGACCATAAGGAAGATAATTCAGTTACCGTCAGTTTATGAAAGTCCATTGCTGCACCCCACATAGATTGCTCTATATTTAGGGATATTTGCCTTAAGCTGCACTTGGCAGGCTGGTTGGCAATCCCTTTTATATTTTTTAGATATCATCAGGAGGAGGAAGCACCCCTTACAACATCAATAAGACGATATGGGCCGGGGAAGGACCACGCTCTCACAGAATACCAGCGTAAAATAGTAGCTTAATGTTGCTGTGTTTTGTTTGGTGATTGTTGAGTGTAGAGAGGAGACCCTTTTTACTAGAAACGATGCACTTCATCTTAGTCCTCACGGAGGCAATGCATCTGCATTTTGATTCATAACCGAGGATAAATGTAGATGTCCACTCTTACCATCAGGTGGACTGTGTGCTCGTTTGTCACCCTATCATATAAAGAATAAGGAAACTATGAAGTAAGATAATATTCCCTTATAATCTCAGCACAAAAAAAACCTAATTTTCTCTCCTTTTAAGGTATATGAAATCACTATCACCTACAGAGAAAAATGAACTATTTAACTTAGCTCACTTAACCTTAAGGATGTTACTCTACATTGTGCAAAAAGTGACCTTCCACAACACTGCAGAAATAACATCTACATTTAGTGCATTAAGACTCAATATTAAAGAATTGTTATTTGATGAGGAAGTACCAATGGATACAAAATCAGTTTGTGGTATACTTTTGATATCAATGTATAACTTGCAAGAAAGATCTAATGCTTGGATTGAGGTTAGTTTTGCGTAAGACATTACTTTCTAGTAAATATGGCGTATTTATACGTGGTAGATCCACACTGTTATATATGGTAGAGTCACATATTAGTTGTAGCATGAATGGGTCGGCTCGACGGGGTAGGACCACGCTCTCAGAGAATACCAGCGTAAAAACGCAAGCTTAAGGTTGCTGTATTAGAGAACTGGAGATCATTTTTACTGGTAATGATGCATTCTATCTTAGTCCTCGGGAGTGATCTACGGGTCATCTGCATTTTCATTATTAATCAAGATGTCTGGGTAAATGCTGGTAAATTTCCCACTTACTATCAGGTGTACTGTGTGCTCGTTCGTTACCCTTATAATCTATAAATATAAATATGGGGGGGGGGGGGGTGAAAGAATATCCACTAATCATATCGTCAGATGGGTGTCTTAAGATGGGCAGCAGCATCTTTATAAAAACAACCTAAAATATTATAAAAAACTGTGGTAGTCAATCCGTCTGGACATGGACTTTGTGTGTGTGTGCGTGCGTGCGTGCGCGTACGTGCGTGCGTGCGTGCGTGCGTGCGCGGCATGCGTGCGTGCGTGCGTGCGTGCGTGCTGTGCGTGCGTGCGTGTGCGTGCGTGCGTGCGTGCGTGCGTGCGTACGTGCGTGCGTGCGTGGTGCGTGCGTGCGTGTGTGCGTGCGTGCGTGCGTGCGTGCGTGCGTTCGTGCGTGCGTGCGTGCGTGCGTGTGTGCGTGCGTGCGTGCGTGCGTGTGCGTGCGTGCGTGCGTGTGTGTGTGTGTGTAATGTATAGGCAATCTATGGGGGGAGGTTGGCTATTGCTCAGAAACAGAAACTTTTTTATTCAATGTAGATTATAACAGTAGTTATTGAAAGTCACTTTTTTCATTTACCACTTAGCTCAGTAGTGAACTTTATTTTGTTTGATGGATATGGCAAAGACCTTGTATCCGATTACTCAAAATGTCTTGTGCAATACATTCTGTTAAGCAGTGATCTTATTATTCAATTATGCTACTTACAATATTCATTACTTTGACACTGCATTTACATTTATTTTCAGATTTTAAAATCCGAGGTTACCGATTGGGAATTTAACAGTCTTATGGAAAATGACTCCGCTAAGTTAAGTCTGTACTCAGCTATAACCACTGTTGTGCCAACACCTGAGTTGATTACTATGAGTGTTGGTCCAGAGTCTGCACTCATTAAATTAACTTATAACATACTAGCTATTGGTGAAAAGTGAGTGTTTAGTTTTTAAACTAATTAAATTTAAATAAATTAAGGCCAGCAAAACTAGATAAACAAATGTAAAAAACTAGTGTGCTTAGACATTTTAATATTGTAATAAAAATCAACATATCTACAAATTTAAAACTGGCGATGCGGATATTTGATTTCTCCACTAGTTGGAGTGACGAGCTGGTAAGAGATAGATGCAGGTGGCTCAGGACCGTGCTTTGTGGCATTCCTTGAGGAAAGCCTATGTTTAGCCGTGGACTTGTAAAGGGATGTAATGATGATGATACATATTTCGTGGCCCATGCCTTCTTGTGCGTGGCTTCTAGTGCTGCGTGATTTCTAGTTCGTGATCCTTCTCCACGACATTTTCCTTTACCAACAAACCTGTGATTACAATTAACAAGTTATTTGCACTGACGGGGATCGAACCCACAATGTCTCCGTACTGTGAAGTTTACATCGAGAGCTTAGGAAGTTGCCACGGTTCTTGTCGTCGTTTGTTGTAGACGAACTGGTCTCTTCAGGACTCAATTGGTCGCATTTATTATAAAGTTGAATATTTACTTCGTTGTCAATTGCAATATCAGTCAACAAAAATTACCAAAAATTTCCATTTCTAAATTTACAATTGTTTGAAATATTCACAAAGTTGCAGCTTAAAAGTTTAAATCTTTCCAGTTTTATAAGTCACTAGATAGCCGATTTTGGCATTATTGCGCGTAAGATAAATGCATCATGTTTACAAGTGTCGCTGGTCTTAACTTAGCACAGTGTAGTGTGTGTTAGACAATACTCTTAACTATTTAAATAAATGAACACTAATTAGTAGACTTTATATTATAAAATATTCTTGGAATGCGTTAGAAGTAAATACAATATATATTCTAAAATAAATGATGTATGCGAACCAAAAGCAACATAGACCATCACGATGTGACATAGGCCGGTCTCACTGCAACGTCACCTTCTTTGCTGGTACTAAAAGTATTACCACAACTGACAGAACGACGATAACAATTGACACTCAATTACCCAAGGTAGTTGTCTGCGTAGTTCTTTATACTGCTTGTACGAGTGGGGGAGTTTAACCACTTATTAGTAATCTATCCTCACTTTTAACATGTGATTATTATCAGGAACCCCTAAGATACCGTGGACATGTTGACAGGTCCAAGTTTTGTGACCGCTAAGTACAGAGGACATGTATACATGTCCGCATTACGTGCTGCTATTTTCGTCATTAATTGATATAAAAATACAGTATATTTTCGAATGAACACTATTTGATTCGATTCTGAACGAACTAAAGAATATTTTGTAGCATTATATTCACTCGGTTACATAGACATCATCAAATATAACAGCCATTCGCTTTTGCGTGCCAGTGCGGTTGGTTGCGTAGTCGTTGAAGTTTTGTGATTGTGATTTTACTTGGATTTTCTTTCAAAAAAACTGTAAGTAATGTTATTTATCTTTACTACGTAATGTTTTTGAATAATTTAAGTTACAACAACAGTAACTTTTTATGTTTCAATTGATAAAAAAGTAGAATTAAAAAACCTCTACGCGAACAATTCGTAACGGTCAAGATTTCTAATAAGATTCTAATAAGATAATAAAAGTATATTTCTTATTGGAATACCATAGTAAATACTTTTACTAGTAATTGCTAAATATTATATCTATATGATTGTATAAGAAAAATAAAGGAAGACGATATAAAATATATACACAAAAAGGTTTTGAAAATGAGTTTAGTAAGCGCGCGCAAACTGTCTATTGTCGAATTTTTAGCAAATGTTTGCAAGTGAAAAAGTAGAATTATTATAATTATTACATGCATAATTTCGGTTCATTTAAGAATATGTTGTATTGATTGTAAGGACATAAAAATAAAATAAAAACTTACGATATTTCATTCATAAAATAAAATTTATCGTCAGTAATTACACTTTATCAAGATCCCTTAGAAACAAAGAGCTGTACAAAATAAAATAAACATTTATATGTTATGGTTATTGTTTCTACGTATCGAAAATCTTATCGGCTTTAAATAACTGTAACTAAAACCTCTTTAAACATAAATGAAAGGTCGTGAGAAACATAAATATTTAAAACAAGTGCCGCCAGCTGAGGTGACGACGGACGCCTCGGTACAAAGCTGTTTTTTGTTATGGCGGGCGCAGTGAGTGATAGGTTAAGCACTTGTCATTTATCAACAGATGGGTTGGTAACTGTAGTTTTTAACAAACTTTTTAGAAGAAACTGCTGCCCATAACCTGTATTTTTTTAATTGTCTTACGCACTTACATGGCATTTAATTTATTCGAAAAAGTTATTTTTTGCTGGGTTATGTTAAAAATGCTCTAGTTTTTAAATAATTTATACATCTATGCAAGTAAATAAAATGGAAGTGGCTGTTTGTTATGTGAAAATAACAGCTTTTTTACTAAAGGCATATGAAAGTATGTACGGTACTTATAACAAAAGACAATTCTTAAAATTTTTGTCTGTCTGTACTGTACCGATTTTGACGGGACTTTCACTTGCAGATAGCTTATGTTATAAGCAATAACTTGGGCTACGAAAAAGAATGAGAGTTTCGCGCTAAAAAAATAACCATGAAATCCAATCGTAATTAATTCCACGCGGACGATATCGCGAGGCACAGCTAGTATTAAATAAAGACAACAACATCAAAGGCATTTCATCTAAATTACGAACTGTAAACATTTCAGGACCAGTTCTGACTCCACTTTCACCCTAAGTGTGACCCGAACTTTGGTACAAATCAGCAAGACTCTATCTAAGACTTCCGACAGAAACTTAGGACTTCAACTAGTTGACTGTCTCCTAACATTTGTTTGGTCTCATCTTGAGCATTACATGGACAGTGTGCGTCATTTGACTGGGCAGGTGTTGGCCAACATCGTTAGATACTGCACTGAATTAAAAAAGGAAGGTGAGCTGATCTGATCATAAATTAAGTCTCAATTTAGTTACAGAGTGCAAAAATTATTTTAATTAATAGAAACAGGCGTTATTTTGCGGAAATCCATTATTTTAAACATGTTAAAACTTAGCTAACCGTCGTATTAAAATAAAATGACCGAGCGATCAGCCACCGCGAAGTCTACTTCATCGAGAATGACTCGTTTAGAGACATTTTTAACGTGGTAGAGCCACGCTGCAGCTATATTATGGTTGTAGCACGAATGGGTCGGCTCGACCGGGGAAGGACTACGTTCTCACAGAATACCGTACTTATTTCATTGCAACGCAGGCTTCCCCCATAGATTGTCACATATTAGTGGTGGGTCATTGTCAAATTTTTGGCGAACGAAACGTAATAAAAACGATCGTTAAAGACGACGATGCGACGAGTGAGATAGATAGTTGAATAATTGCGTTCTCGACTGTATTTTAATAGGCGTAAAATAAAAAATCGCATAAGTCACTCAGAGGGGTAGGCAGAGACTACGGACTACGGACCATTTGACATGATTCTGACACACCTCTCTCTCCTCCTTTACATCCATATACAGGTCTTAACTTAAATAAATAATAAAGTACCTTCATTCTTTCAAAAATCTAGTTAAATCGTATTACCTAGAACGCTGTTAGTAAAATTACTTTTTCTTTTTCGTACTTTTTAATGTACTATGTAATCTGTTTTATCATATTGTATATCTTTTACACTTATATGTATTTTCAATTTATTTTGTAGGCTCCCCCTCTATTTTAACTATTGCTTGCATCAGTTCTCACGCAAAGGTTGTCTGGAAGAGATCACTTTCAGAGTGATAAGGCCTCCTTTTGTACATGTTATACTTTAGATTTAATTGTACTCGTTATTTTGTATTTTGGTGTACAGTAAAGAATAAATATATAAATATTTAAAGGCCAAAGCTGGAAATGGGCTTCTCACCCTTTGTAGGGTGGATTTGCCTTGATATTTTCTTTTTCTTTCTTTTTTTTTTAAAAAGGAACGGCACCTCCACACTAGTATTTTCTGCTGTATCGTGGGGGCAGTTTACATATATAATTTTTTTATAGGATAAGGGTGACAAACGAGCACACAGTCCACCTGATGGTAAGTGGATGCTGTTACCCATAGACATTTACATTTATCTTCAATTAAGAATCAAAATCCAGATGCGTTGTCACCTGTTGTGACTGAGATAGAATGCCTCGTTTGCAGTAAAAAGGGTCACCGGTTCTCTACACTCACCATACGAAACACAGTATTTTGTGAGAGCGTGGTCCTACCCCGGTTGAGCCGACCCATTCGTGCTGCAACCACAATATAGCTGCAGCATGGCTCTATCACGTAGAAAAGTTTACAAGGACAAACATCCAGACCTGGAACAATTATTTTTAGGCTCTACAAATACTTGCTCCATGCGGGATTCGAACCCGTGGCCCTTTATTGCAACTCATTGCTAAGCCACTGCGCCACGGAGCCGTCAATTGCCACGCTTTGAAGGCGGATTCACGATCGATGTGCAGAAATCTCGCATCTTACACGCTACTGCTCGTCGCCATTCTGGATATTCTATACCTGGCGTAGACTAGATAATTGTGCCATCCGTGGGAAGCTGTGAGATATTTCTGGTATATCCCATAGTCGCCTCTTACGACAGCCATGGATGAAAAAGAGATGACTATTACACTTAATTTATTTAACTTATATTTTCATCAATACAAATGATTACATGGTCGATAAAACCCCTGGGAATTAATGAAGTAATCGATTCCATTGTTGTTTTTTAATCGGTTTTGTAAAAAATTGTATAACCTTTTTTTATATTGTACTATTGACATGCCCCGGCTTCGCGCGGGCGATTTCTGGATCTCACCAACAACACTACCTACCGAGTCTTACAATTGAGTTTTTAAACCATCCAGGGACCCACTCAAAATGTCAAATACACACAAAATAATTCATCAAAACCGTTCGGGCCATTTTTTCCTTGACACAACACAACTGGAAGTTGTGTTGTGTCGAGGAAGAAAACTTCTTTTAAATCAAAATTTTTCATTATAAGTATAGTGGTGGACCGCCAATCATCCAGATTGGGTGGAGTGTATCGCGAGTTTTGTCGCGATCTGCGATGGTGAAATTATGCGGCTGGAATAAGTCCTAACAATTTCTCAGAGCACTCCCTGCTATAAAATACGCAAAGAAATACATCTCTTCGCAGTGCCAGTGAGTTAAGCTGATCGGAAAGGGTTCGGTCGCCGACGATTCGAACAGCTCTGCGCTGGATGCGATCAGCTGGTACTGGAGAGCCCCGCCGGCATGAAACACTGTCCCGCTCTCTTTAAGTGACTTTCAATAAGAATTATTTATAGTCTATATTGAATAAAAAATATTCTATTCTTATATATTATTGGTAAGATATGCAGGAGGAAGTTGATGGATGCTGGTGGCTTAGGACCATAGTTTTGGGCATTCTTTCGGGGAGATCTATGTTCGGTAGGGGAGTTGTGAAAGGCTGATGATCATGATAATGCTGATTCGATTCTTCCTACATTCGCTACTTTACCATTCCAGGTGACGACAAAGCCTTGGATAGACTCTTCACAGCACTAATGTCTCTAGACAGGAGTCGAAAGAGTTACTATGTGAGTCTAACTTCGCTCACCTCAGAATTAGGTGCTAGCTGTATTCTAGGAAGAATGCCTAACGCAATCTGTGACACTATTAAGGCACTGGATATTCAAGCTGTACAAGCTAGCGTGAGTATAACGCCTATTCGTAATAAATGTTATGTGTTTTCCACCTTGTATACATTTTATATAGAAATAAGGGTAACAAACGAGCACGCATTCCACCTGATAGTAAGTTGATATTGTTGCTTATATTCACCTACATTTATTTATCTTCAAGTAAGAATCAAAATTTACACCTACCCCCACTGTCCAATAGTACAATTTTCTCCTCAATCTTAAAATTGTCTGGAAGAGATCGCTGTTTAGTCTTACTCCCTACAATCTGTATTTTTCTCGTGTTGTTGGTGTACAATAAAGTGTATGTTCTCATAATAATGATAAAATTCAAATGCATTGCCACCCTTCAGAACTAAAATGGCATGCATCATAGTTAAAAATAGTTTCCGGTTTCCTTTACTAGAATTAAAGAAGAATAAAATAACTTGAGCTTCTGAAGTCGGAGCCTTAATTCTTTTATACACTATGTCATAGTAATGTGTTAATTTTTTTATAGAATAAGGGTGACAAACGAGTACACAGTCGTCCACTTGATGGTAAGTGAATGCTGTGGCCCATAGACATCTACATTTAAGTATCATCGATCAGTATCAGTAATCATCGATTAAGAATCAAAAAGCAGATGCGTTGTCACCCCTGAGGACTAAGATGGAATGCCTCGTTTCCAGTAAAAAAGGGTCTCTGGATCTCTACATTCACCATACGAAACACAGCAATATTAACCTGTTATTTTCCGCTGGTATTCTGTAAGCGCGTGGTCCTACCCCGGTCTAACGACCCATTCGTGCTATAACCATAATATAGATACAGCGTGGCTCTACCACGTCTAAAAATATAATATTGTTTTTAGTCCTTTAAAGTTGTTTTTTTTGTTAGGAGAGAAACTTAATAGGTAACGGTTTTGAATCTTCCATTCAATTCCTATCGTAAACTACTCGTAACAATCACTTAAGTTTACTTATGCGTGGTGAAGTCACACTGAAGGGAAGGACTACGCTCTCACAGACTATCGGAGTGAAATAACAGTATATTGCAGCTGTGTTTCGTGTGGTGAATGATGAGACCGGACACCATTTTTACTGATAATGAAGCATTTCATCTTCATAAAACCATTTTCTTATTAAACTGTTGTGACAAACGAACATACACCACCTGATGGTAAGTGGCTGTTGTCTGAGGACTAAGGTGGAATTCCTCATAGCTTGTAATGATTTAGTGTCCTCCAGACCGAATTTCGGTTACGGCGGCCTGCCTCAACGGAGACTAGCCATCGATATAGGACAGGATTAAAGTGCCTGAGTGTATGCGCATGCACAGATGCACTCTCTATTCCCTCACTCTCATAATTCGATGGGACGGTAAACCGACACGAACGTAGAGAGATCAGGCGTAGGACCGACGGATTTACGTGCTTTCCGAGGAACGGGGGTGAGACACCGCCAACTTCCACTTTACGTTTCACTAGGAGTATTCTTCCGCCTACGTATTATGACCTCTCTGTGGAATAGTTTACCACCGGCGATTTTTCCGAACAGATACGACTAAGGACCTTCAAGAAAAGAGCCTACTCCTTTCTAAAAGGCCGGTAACGCACCTGCAATTCCCTTGGTGTTGCAGTTGTTCATGAACGGCGTCAGTCACTTACCATCAGGTGAGCCGCATGCTCGTTTGACCCCTCTCCTATAAATAAAACGCGTTTATGTGTTGCGCGAAGGACCTACATGACGACTGCTACGAAGGGGCAATTATTGTATTGTGATCAATTAATACGTCAGTAAAAATTCAGATTATTTAGGGGTTCGAAAGTAAGTGAAAACTGAATTGGAAAATTCCTTTATAACCATGCAAACATGCGTACAGGTCAAGCTAATAAAGGCTTGTTAAAATAGTTAAATAAGTATATTAAAGATGTAAAAAATTTATGGGCTAAAATCCGCGTAATAAAATAAAATGATGTGTCTTACTAATTTGAAGAGCACCCCCCACCCTCCCTCAATTTGAAGAGCACCCCCCACCCTCCCTCAATTTGAAGAGCACCCCCACCCTCCCTCAATTTGAAGAGCACCCCCACCATCCCTCAATTTGAAGAGCACCCCCCACCCTCCCTCAATTTGAAGAGCACCCCCACCCTCCCTCAATTTGAAGAGCACCTCCACCCTCCCTCAATTTGAAGAGCACCCCCACCCTCCCTAAATTTGAAGAGCACCCCCACCCTCCCTCAAATTGAAGAGCACCCCCCTCCCTCAATTGCGTGCACTATTCCAGTCACAACTAATCCCAACACCACAACACTAGGAAAGACAGCATCGTCTATAATAGGACACGTGTTTCGCCTCTAAACGAGGCATGCCATCCTCAGGTTACGTAGACTCTGCGTTGGCTGACCGCTAAGTCAAAAATAAACATATTTTTAGGCTACAACTGCGCTTGAGACTCTACTTCAGAGACATTCCAAAGAGACTTCGAGCGAAGCGTTATACAAAAGCTGGGTGAAGCCCATATTGTCACATGTGATGACGAATGCTTTGGATTCGGCAGTGTTGAACATCCTTGAAAATATTCTACTGCAGGCTGTGAGAATAGATGAGAATATATTGGATTATTTGTAAGTTTTATGTCCTTATCTAATATTTCAACTGACTTCTAAAAAGACGCAGCAGCTATATTGGGTTGGACCGGGGGAGGATCATGATATACAAAATTCTCTCACAGAATACCAGCGTAATATATGTTTCGTATGGTGAGTGAGGGCAAACGGACACCCTTTCTATGGGAAACGAGGCATTCCATCGTAGTACTCAAGAGTGACAACACGTTTGAATTTTGATGTATAATCGATGATAAATATTAATGGGCCACAGCACCTACTTACCATCAAGTGGACTGTGTGCTTGTTTATCACCCTAATTCTATAAAAAAAGAAGTAAGTTGTTTATTTTAGTCGCGGGTTCCAATTTCGCATGGAACATATCTTTGTATGGCCTATAAAGAATTGTTCTGCGACAACACAATTGTATTTTGATTCTTAATAGAAGATAGATGTGTGTTTATGTAGAACTCACCATCAAGTGTACTCCGAACTCATATGTAATCCATCCCCTTAATTGTATAAAAAAGTTTAGGTCACGTAATGATTCAGAATGAACCATCCATCGATCAAGAAACGGAGTGGGACTTTGGTCTCAATGATCGTAATTCAGTTCACCTAGTGCGGCAATTACAGCAAACCCTTCGTACTGAATAGGAGGTTTATACGTGGTAGAGCCACGCTGCAGCTATATTATAGTTGTAGTACGTATAGATCGGCTCAACCGGAGAGGGATCACATTCTCACATTCTGAGCAGCTTACTATTGCTGTGTTTCGTATGGTGACTGTATAGAACCGGATACCATTTTTACTGGAAACGAGGCATTCCAAGTCCTCAGGTGTGACAACGCATCTGCATTTTGATTCTAATCGAGGATAGATGTAGATGTCTATGGGCCACAGCATCACTCACCATCAGGTGGGCTTCATTGTCCCTCTTACATTATTATTTTGTATCAGTATTACTTTTATATGCTTTGCTACTTTTGTCAATGAATAAATTTTTAATTGTTATTATTCATCTTCGCAGACTACCCTACATAAAACAGTTGCCAAGTACAAACGGAAACTGTCGTGACGATCTGAAATGTGTCTTAATGCTATTGAGTGTCGTTCGAAAATCCAATGTCGCGGCGAAGTTGAATGCAACCGATGAAGAGTGGAAAGGCCTCATCAGTTACGAACTTTTGAGAATGGCTGCCGTCAATGTAGTTGATGAGGTGAGTATTTTTTTATTTTAGACAAAAACGAAAGAAAAAAGAAAGAATAAGGAACTATTTATTAGATACACGAATTTTGTACAAATTTCAAAAAATATACAAAAGTAAGGAGCAAAAATATGCATGCACCAGTCTAAGACTGCATATGCATTAATAATTAAGAAGCAGCACATGCACATCACAAAACAAAAAACAAAAAAAAATCTTAAGTTAAAATGTGACATCAAATAGGCCTCCAACTCAGCATGACGCTGCAAAGGCGGCGCTAGATTTTAGTTGGAACTTGTGATTTTACTGACAAAGCTATTTCTAATTTGTTTTGTGTTGTTAATTGTGTAACATGTATAAACCATTCTTTTTCTTTAAATGTACCGCTGGTTTTTATTGCCGGTTTATTCCAATTAAACATAAAAGTGACTTTCCATAACTATTTATAATTTACATTGATTAAAATTAATCTATCTCTATTAATAACGAGACACGTAATACAACCATAACTTTTTCAGACGCGCATCCTGTCTCTATCTCTAATTGTGGAGTCCCCGAAATCAACAGAGGCTTTCACCTCGCAGGAGCTGGAGCTTGTGTTGTGGTACCTCAAATACAATATCAACGCGCAAGCTCCCAACTTTAGACAGCTTACGTTGTCGTTGATGAAAAAGGTATTTTAAATTTAATAGAATAATGGTAATATAAATCAGTTAAATGCAGGTTTATCTTCTTCATCAGTAGATAAGAGTTCATTGCTGCACTTGGATCTTTCCCGTAGGGTGGATTGGCTTTGATAGTCACATTTCGAGTCCTATATATATATATATATATATATATATATATATATATATATATATATATATATATATATTTATTTTTTTTAATACAATAAGTGTGACAAACGAGTACACAGTCTGCCTGATGGTAAGTAGGCGCTGTAGCCCATAGACACCTACGTCTATTCACCATTATGAATGAAAATTAAAATGTGTTGTCACCCTTGCTGACTAATATGGAATGCCATGGAGACATGGCATGGCATAAAAAGGGTCTTCGGTTTTCTACACTCAACACACGAAATACAGCAGCATTAAAGGTGTTATACGCTGATTTTCCATTCGAGACCATAATATAGCTGTTACGTGGCTCTACCAAGAAACAAACCCCATAAGATCTTTCAGGCGTTTCCCATAACAGAGTGATGGATTATCTAACACGGCCAACACACAGTGATAGTGATGCAGGCTTCACTTATCTTTCAGTGTTCTCTTGTCTAAGACGCTATAATGTTAATGGTTCTATAGGTTTTTTTTTTTTCAATAATTATAGCTTATCAAAGTCAATTGTTAAACAGACGTTCCCCATAGATTGCTTCATAGGGATATGTAAATGTTTGTCATATTTGCCACACATGGCAAGCCCGTTAACATAAGATGCTGGTGCCACCTCCTCTTTTATTTACCTCTGTCGCCACTTAAGAAACTCACAAGATGATACAAAGTTGTGGGTTGCGGCAAGGCGGCCGTTTGAATTATACTCTCTTTAACCATTACACCCTTCTTATGCCACTGCTAAATAGCCCCCACAAACACCCAACCCACCATACCCTACCTCCGAAACCTTTCTTTCATAAATTGTTATTGATCTTAAATAAATTTAATCATAATAATACACACATTTACAACTTATAACATTGCAAATTACGTTTACGCGGATTTTATAACGAACGACTATTTACAAAATATTTAAGCGAATTTGAAAGAAATTTGTAAAATTTGCTTATAATTCACTTTGTTATACTTGCATTATATATAATTAAAGTATTGTTTTTATGACCCAAGTGGCAGACGTGTGACAAGTTACAATTAAAGTAAAATAGACTTTATATTTCACTACCACAGTTCATAAAACGCCTTGAAGACAGCTTTAAAGTACTGAAAAGACAAAAAGGACTCAATGATGAGTATAATAAAGGCGATTATTACTTGTCATTCGTTGAGATGCTGCGCGATTTTTGTTACGGATGCTTGATACGAGGAGTGAACTACAGTCGGCGATACGTCGCTCTGCAGGTGCTTGTATGGTGTGAAGATGTCAGCCTTGAGGGATATCAAAGGTTAGTAGGAGGCAACGACTTCCAAAAAACAAAAGATCATCAATAAGGGCATTCCCAATTTTTTGCCACAGGGTGACGACACAGGCCGGGAAGTAAATTTGATAAAAAAATGTTAGGGTTAATATTTTTTTCTGTAAAGAAAACAATAGATTAAACCTTAGGGATATCAAAGGTTAGTAGGAACACTTCCAAAAAAAAAAGATCATCAATAAGGGCATTCCCAATTTTTTGCCACAGGGTGACGACACAGGCCGGGAAGTAAATTTGATAAAAAAATGTTAGGGTTAATATTTTTTTCTGTAATAGTAGTTATATATTTTATTATTTAGATTAAACAAACTACGGATATCCCTAAAAGAAGAATTTAAAAAAAAAAGAGTTAAAATTGAAGAGCAACCCAATGTTGACATTGTTTTGTGTATTTATTATTACTCTAGAAAAAGATATGTCAAAAGCAACGCCACAATTATATGACGTGTAACAAAAAACTTCACCTCAGTTAAAACCCGCAACAGCTGGTGAACTGAAGACTTTTAACTTCCCGCTATTAAAATCAACGATTTTCAAAAAAAAATCGGGAAGATACTGATTTCATCCCAGTTTTCGAAAATCAAGGTTTCATCAGGTTTCTTTCATCGTGTATATATTAACTTATTTTAATATTCCTGACGATTCGAGTATTTTACAACACCCATGGTTATGAGGGGACTGAAGTGTTCAACGTCGCAATGCCATTGTTAACCACGGCTACCTTCAATTTATCGAAAAGTACTCGAAATGTCGGGAACATAAAATAAGTAAATATACGCGATAAAACCCGTAAAAGCTAGATTCATTTAAATGTGTAGTGTTCGCGTTAACATAAGAAACCATTATTGGCCTTTCTTGTTTCAGAACGTGGAAGCCACATTACGTTGAGAATCTATTGATACATCTCGAGGACAGCTACGAGACCAACAAAGCTTTCGCACTGGAAATATTAAAAATGTGCCCTGTAAAAATGATACAGGTAATATCGTATTTATTTTTAAAATATGTGACGTCACTCATCTCATCCTGTGGGTGTTGTAACTTTTGTTTCATTTTGCGAAGGGAAGACGTACGGAGTAAGAAGCCAGCTGCGGTGTCAATCTTAAAACAGCTCCAGCATTATTTTGTATTCGATTACTTTTTTTATAAGAATAAGGGTGACAAACGAGCACACAGTCTATCTAATGGTAAGTGGATGTTGTGGCCCATAGACATCTTCATTTATACTCGATTAAAATAGAATAGAATATTTGGATAATTCAAAAGTGCATGCCTCATAAGCGTTTCATTTTATTTTGATGAAAAAAATAAATTGTATTCTTGACTTTTAAAATATATTAACCTCTCAACCCTAGCGGTCTCATGAGACCGCGGCCATATTCCGTCAAATCCCTAGCGATCTCATGAGGTCGCACCCGCCCACAGCACTTTAACCCATAAAAACTTATATATAGAGACTACTTTTCTATGAAGAAGTTTGGCATCATATAATCAATATGAAATACTTTATCCTCTAGTGCAATAAAAAATCTGTTATCCTATGAATATTTATTTATAATCTACGTTCATTTCGTACGCCATTTTTGCGTTAATGTTATTGTGTTGATTTTTGGATTTTTCTAGTGTTTTATTATAAAATTGTAATGAAAGTTTTTGTGTGAATATAATTTATATTTTTACGCAAATAGTTTGGAGTAATATATATTGAAATAATTGTGATTTTCACGCTGCCGACATTCGCTTGGTATGTTTTTTTTTTTTGTTATCAAAAGACAATAAAATCTTTTTGTAATGAAGTAAAACCTGACTTTTGTTTAGACTACAAGATAGAGAATTTTGTATAGATTTTATAATGCTAAACTTCTTCATGGAAAAGTAGTCTCTAAATATAAGTTTTAATGGTTTTAAGTGCTGTGGGTGGGTGCGGTCGCATGCGACCGCTCGGTATTTGCTGGGCGCATGCGACTGCATGGGATTTTTATGGTGCTTGAAGGGTTAACTACTATAATAAAATAATTATAGGCTGTGAGGCATCTTATATATGTCCATATAACTGACAGCGCTTAAATAGCCCTTTTTTTGTTTAAAAATAACTTATTTTCAGGAGCAAAGGCACGTTATTGGTTTGGAGCTAGACCAAATTTTGCGACAGGCTTCATCCGTCAAACCGACTGATTGCATCTCAGCCGCGTACAAGCTCCAATTAATGGTGGACAGGCTCCCGGAGAGTATCCTTAAAGGAAGCCGTTGGTAAGTGTTAGCTTTATTTATTACAATATTTTTGCGGCTAAATCTCCTATGATGTGGTGATTTAAATGAACCCATCGTTTTTTTCCATGATTTTATAAAGATGTTTAAGACGAAGTTCTATAATACATTTAGTCGTATTGCCGTTGAAGAGCAAATTGTTGGCCTTAAACCAATGTACTAATTTCGGTAGAGCATTATTTATATTGTCAAAATTAATTGACTTCCGTTTGAGTTTGAAAATTAAAGAGTTTAAGATCATCAGCTAATAATACTATATCAGGATTGTTCTCTTCAATATAAGGTAAGTCATTAATATAGATTAAGAACAGGAATGGGCTGAGAATCGAGCCCTGAGGAACGCTCATTGTTACATAATACATACATAAGAGAACGGGGAGTGGGCGGGGAGCCCATTTAAATAAAGGAGACATCATGCCCTACAACCAATAAGTCGAAACTATTATTATATATAAGATACAAAAATAAAGAAATATTGATACGTCAGAAATATTAATCAAAAGTTTAAAATGTGTAAATTCGTTCAGTCTGTCACACACAGCGAATCGGGTTTGTAGTAGTGATAATATTACGTAATTGCTTGTATGTGTGCTCCCGGTGACACCGATCCTCGTACAAAATAAGGTTGAGAGCCATTCTATTGTATATTATAGTATTCTATGGTTACTACCGATCCGGATGAACCTTTACGATCGATAAAACCTTTTCGAGTTCTGTTATTTAAATATAAATTAATAAGTGCAAGCACAATATTTTTGACACCATAATATTGTAGTTTCCTGATTAATATCTCATGATGAACACAATCGATAGCCTTGGAAAAATCACAAAAAAATACCTAAGGCAACTTGTGAATTCTCCCAAGCAATGAAAATATATTTAAAGTAAAATATTACCGTGTAGTGACGGTGTAAGAATATCAACTTTACCATTACGTCTGGTGGATGTCGTAAGAAACGGCAGAGGGAAACAAATTAAAAGATGGGCTGCAGCGTCTTCTTTATAACAAATAAAACTATAGACTATAGCATATCTCTCCTATGAGGCAATCTATTGGAGGTGCCAATGTTTAGCAACGAACTTTCAATAAACTGTAACGGTAATGGTAATAATATCTTCGGTTACTCGCAGCGCAGTACCGGAAGCAGTAAAGTACTACTTGGCGTGTGTCCTGCTGCAAGAGCTGCGACGCGAATTGAGTGTGTGCGAGCGCTGCGTGCTGCGCGCTGCGGGTGAGGCACCGCTGCACGGCCTACTGCATGCGGCGCGCCACCTGCTGGGACACCTGCACCCGGGGTCAGTGCATACGAGATACTACCAAACACTTGTATATACATACATACCTACATACATACATAATATAAATATAATATATATATATCCCGATGCGGGCGCGGCGCCGCTGCATGGTCTGCGCTGCATGGTCTGCTGCACGTGGCGGTCGAAGCCAACCGAAAGAAACCAGTGGCGAAGCTAGGGCTCCAAACTATGGCAAGCCCAAGATATGGTTTTTGTTTTTAGCAGTTACCAATCTTGAGCTGTCTCCACTCGTTAGTTTCATATTCAGTGCTGTCAAGGACGTGTTTAACAAAGCAGACAGAAAGCATACTACCGCTAGATAGATTGTATGACATAATATGCAATTGCACACCTTCGGTGGTTTTGAAAAGAGCCGTTTGGGTTTGCTTGAGATATTTACAAACAATACAATACATGAACAAAAGAAAAGCATGAACAAAGTACAAACAAACTATGTACAAAGTTAAAAAGGGACGCCTGGCAGATGTATGTATGTCACACTTATATTCATCACAATGAACACTATAATTATCCTCCCATTTCCACTGAAAATCTTTAAAAAAGCATAAATTTTAAACTGGCAAAAAATTCGCTCAAGCTCAACACACAATGCACAAAGTAGAAGTACTTTTTGACACAATGTAAACACTAAACATTGAAATGTGACACGGACTTGCTAACATATCGTCGGCTCGTCGGCCTCGGCCGCGCGCCTCCTTCCTCGACTAACTTCATACCTAACGTGACCATACGTCCCACTTTAGGCGGGACATTCCCGATTTAAATGCTTGTGTCGCGCCATCTCCAAAATACGTAAAATGTCCCGCTTTGACAAACAAAAGCGTGACAATCACGCAAACCCTGTCACCCGTGCCATCATTATGACACCTTGTCTAGTTACGTGATTATTCTGAAAAGCTACACTTTTGAATTTAAAGTTACGAAGTGACAATTTTTAATTAATCTACAATAAATTATCAAATAACATAAAATATTTCCAATTAGTATATATTTGATGTTTAGAATTCACTTTTGATCTTTAAAAGACTCAAACAACTATGTGTTTTATTTATAAAACTATAATAAAGGGTTCCAGATTGATTTTTAATAATGGCGTAAGTATAATACTAACATATACAATAAGTGTAATACTACTGCTACTGAGAATTTTGTGACGGAAAAACCCATTAAATTATTCTTGACTCGACTCGGGTTTCGAACTTGGGACCACATGATCAGCAATTGCGTTTACTGCCATTAAACCAAGAAGGCAGTCAAAAGTGTTAGAACTATAATAATTTTAAAGGCGTCCCGCTCTGAGGAAAAAATTAATGGTTACTAAAAAGCCGGGCTTTTTGGGTCCATACTAATTGCTATTTATACAATCGGAGTTATATTTCAGTATAGCACATTTTGCGAAAGGTTAGAAAGGGAGCGATCGTCTTCTCGAAAGCCCGGTAAAAAGCCCACGCGTGCGAGGGAGAAAACCAATCGCTCAATTCAACTCTCCTTATCTGCATTTTGATTCTTAATTAAGGATAGACGTATATGTCTTTTAGGCCACAACATCCAATTACCAAGTGAACTGTGTGCTCATTTGTCACACTTTTCTATAAAAAGTGCTAATATTCATCAGTCATCACCATTTTATATGCTTCTTTTCCAGCACTATATCCCAGGATCAGTCCTGGTCCTCACTAATAGAGCAGATAATCAACACTTGCGTGGAGGTGAACGCAGCAGTGGCGTGCGTTGTAAACAACTCCTCACCCGAGGGTCACTTACCCATGGACATGTCAGGGGTTGTAATCACCGACCATGGCAATTCAGGGTAAGATCCACTTAAAAACAATATAGTTTTTGAAAAAATTATTAAGGTTTTTTAAAATATTTTTTTAATTATATATTTTACAGGAAAATTTACGTAACTTCGGTATGTTTTTATTCTTTTAGTTATTTAAAGCATTTTTTTACACTTATAAGGAATAAAAAATACACAAAATCGATGTCGTCTAAATAGTTCCATTACATGCTTCGTCCCATATTTTGTCACTATTAGGGGTTAAATATTTCCTCCAAATTTATAAGGTACTGCCCCAGAAGTATAACTTATGTAATAAAAAAAAAGAATTGTCAAAATCGGTTCACAATTGGTAAAGATATCGCGTAACTTATATACAAAAACATACAGTCGTTTTGAGAACTTTCATGTTTTTTAAAGTCGACTAAAAAAGCTTGAAACAACACGCTTTGACCATGAGCTAGATTATCCTATAACGTATATACTTTTAGTGAGAATACTGCAGCATCGTCATAAAATTATTGTATTGTTATCATTGAAACACCTGCAGAATTTCGGATCATTCGTATTATAATTTTATTATCGTACCTGTCATCCGACAAGTGGAAACGGGCCGTTTGAACTTAAGCATATACTATAGAATAAAATTATTTTTATTCGATATAGATTACTAGAACAATTGAAAGCCAATTATGCATTTACCATGGTTCAGAAAAAGCCTCTGTCTTAGGAAAAACCAGCAAGACACCCAGTGGGACTCTTTCTTTTAACATTAACTTACAAAGTTACACGTTGTTTACCGTGTAAGAATATTCACAACTCTATATCATCCCGTGCTGCCGTAAGAGGCGACAGAGTGAAGCATATCATGAAAAGCGTTCCTAATAACGACTAAAATATACTGTTGCCAACCCGCTGCAAAGCGTGGTAACTATGGCAAGATATCCCGTATGAGGCAATCAATAGAGGCCTATATTCAGACGTGGACTTTAAGAGACTGTAACGGTGATGGTATCGGTTATACGTTGTACTATTACTCAACCTATATAGACTCATATATATATATATATATATATATATATATATATATATATATATATATATATATATATATATATATATATTCCTCTTCTTCACCATCGTTATGTGCCTCTCCTGTTAAAAGGAGAATTTTCCTTAATGCGCATCTAGGTAGACTAATTGAAGACCGCAGTATCAAACATCTCGGACGTATTTTACGTCCGCGCTAAACGTGATGACGCCGCAAACCGTGTACTGTCCCATTGTTGTCGCAAGAGGCGGACAGGGGGAACTGAACCAGCAGATAAGCAGCAGTATCTTCCTGATAACAGCTGAAATTCTTAAGAAAATACTGTGTTTGCCAAACCGCCTGATAAGCTTGGCAATTATGGCAAAACGTGGCATATGTTCAGCAATTGACGTATATAGGCTGTAATGAAATGGTATAATAAGTATAATGGTATATGAGATGATTATATCACCAATTATCCTTTCCCACAGCGACCACTTACAACACCGATAGTACGAAATGAAGTGATCTCATCTCTTAACCCACCACCACATGGTGATTCATCAGACAGAGTCTGATTACGCAATACCATGCTGCAAATCATAATCGACAACATCTTTCCATAACAGTATTATAAACATGATATAGCGACTCGTTCTGGCTTTGCCTATTTTTTTATAGAATAATGGTGACAAACGAGCACAGTCACCTAATGGTAAATGAATGCTGTGGCCCATAGATATCTACATTTATCTATTTTACGTGTTAGAGCCATACTGCATATTCTGTTTGCAGCACGAATGGGTCGGCTCGGCCGGAGTAGGACCACGCTCTTACAGAATACCAGTGTAAAATAGCAACTTAATGCTGCTGTATTTTGTATAGTGAGTGTAGAGAATCGGAGACCTTTTTTACTGGAAACGAGGCATTCCATCTCAGTCCACAGGGCTGGCAACGCATCTGTATTTTGATTCTTAATTGAAAATAAATGTAGATGTCTATGGGCCACAGTATCCACTTACCAACATGTGGACTGTGTGCTCGTTTGTCACCCTATCCTATTAAAAAAACTGACAGATTTTTTTAAAATTGTTATCTATATCTTAGTAAGACAATTTTTACTGGAAACGAGGCATTCTATCTTAGTCCTCACGAGTAACAACGCATCTGCATTTCGTTTTGTAATTGAGGATTGATGTAGATGTCTATGGGCTGCAGCAATCACTTATCATCAAGTGTACTGTGTGCTCGTTTGTCACCCTATTCTATAAAAAAAAAACAAATAACCCCCTGAGCTTAATAGAAGCCAGATATTTCAACATTGCGGACAGACACTTCAGTTTTCTTTATATGTATAGATATACAAATTATAACTTTATGCCTAGGAACGTGAAGCTGGAAGACGGTAGACTGGTTACAGCACAGATGGTGTTGCTTTGTGCTTGGCGATCGGTTAAGGAGGTGAGAGGACTGTTTTTTTTTATATTTTCACAAAAAGCTTGAAAATTAAGTCCAAACCTAAGTTCACACAAAAGAAATTGTTGAAAATAATTCAATACCTTATACTCAGTGATGAAGAAAAACATGTGAATTATTTGCATGTCTAAGCCAGTGGACGCGTAAAACATGGAAGCATTCCTAGCCGAAAAAATGATCTAACGCAAACTTAACACTGATGTGAATTAAGGTCAATGATAAAGAAATATATAAGATAAAGAAAAATGACATATTGTGCCATGTTGCGCGCTTAATTTCCTACTTGTGGCACGGGGTTCTTACCGTTTCCCTAGTTGTGGCATTTCTTTACTTATACAGCAGTACTATATTTTAACAGTAAAATTCAAAATAGATATCCCAAGTATAATAAGAGCGTGATCTAGTCAAGGTGACAATAAAACCCAATATTTCTCACTTCGTGTTCCAGATGTGCAAAAGGTTAAGAAGTTAAAAACTAAGGTCTTGTTTATTCTTGTTCGTTTAGGTGTCGCTTCTCCTGGGCTCCCTGTCGTCAAGAATGACCATCCAAGGCGAGGAGCATGACTATGGGACTCTGAGCCAGCAGCAGGTTGTGCTAATCGGGAAACATTTCACCAAACTCCTGGCGGAGACGAAACATCGCGGGGCTTTTGAGCAGGCTTATGTGGGCTTCACCAAGTTGTTGTCGAGGTATGTCGAAATTGTCGTCTTACTTCGTAATCTGGTCCACGGTGACAGTTTGTAATAATTATATTCTAGATTTTTTAGAAGTGAGGGTCGGAAATAATCACAATGTCCACTTGATGGTATGCTATTGTGGTTTATAAAAATAATCAATTCAAAATTATTTTACTTCGAATAACCTGGATCCATAAAATGTGCACGTACATATCTTTCATTTTTTTTATAGGATAGGGTGACAAACAAGCACACATTCCACCCGATGGTAAGTGGATGCTGTGGCCCATAGACATCTACATTTATCCTCGATTAAGAATTAAAACGCTGATGCGTTGTCACCCCCGAGGGCTAAGATGAAACGCCTCGTTTGCAGTAAAAAGGGTCTCCAATCATCTTCACTCACCATACGAAACACAGCAGCTTTAAGCTGTAAAGCAGTAAAAAAGGGTCTTCAGATCAACGAGATTAAGCTGCTATTTTACGCTGGTATTCTGTGAGAGCATAATCCTTCCCCGGTCGAGCCGACCCATTCGTGCTACAACCATAATATAGCTGCAGCGTAGTTCTACCACGTATAAACAATAATTTGATAATAAAAGAAATATGCTATATAATAATAAAACAAATACTCAATGACATTATTAATTTTGTAGACATCTATACTCTCAATTAAGAATTGAGATGAGTCATGGTGCATACCTGTTGTCACCCATGAGAACTAAGATGGAATGCTTAATTACCAGTAAAAAAGTGTTGTTAAAACTAATTTACTTTGATCCATGTGAACGATAAACGTATATGGCTAGACTTATGAAATTAGTACACTATTCTGTGCTAGAATACATGATACCTTCAGTAAAATTTTACGAACACCTAATTCTATATTCATAATTAAAATAATGTGTCTTACCCAAATTGAAGAGCACCCACTCTCCCTCAACTGCGTGTACTATCACCATCACCACCAAAGCTCACTTCTCTATCACCTGTACCATTACAATAGTGAAGACACACCATGATAATACGTCATGTGTGTCATAAAAATTCTGTCATGTAACTCATGCAACCCACGTAGGACTGATGATAAAAGGAAGGAATGATAGGAGTAATGTAACGGAGAGGGGATATTCCAGGCTGTGGCGGTGTCGCAGTGAGTCCTTGCACTCTCTGCCTCGTCGCTGGCTGACTGAGATGCTGCAGAGCATCGCCGCTGATGATGGAACCGGACCCATCAGCGCCACCAGGAGGAGTGCTGGGCTGCCCTTCATGATACAGGTTTGCATTGGTTACTCGCTTCCCAACAAATAAATTAGTGGTCATATATATGGTAGGGTTCCGTTATATGGATAATCTCTATATATTATGAAATCTATATAGTCGTGTTTATACTTGTGTTATTATTTCATATTGTACGTATTTCAATATTTCATTATAATATGTCCGCAATAAGTCGCCACTTTTGTTTTTATGTGACTTCATGCAGCTTAAATCCCGTAAAGGGGCACAATGCTTTAAAGTAAAGTAAAGTAAAGTAAAGTTACAGCCTATATACGTCCCACTGCTGGGCTCAGGCCTCCCCTCATTTCTGAGAGGGTTTAGGGCGAGGAAGTGTCCGCCGCGCTGCCCAAATGCGTGTTGACGAACTTCACATGTCTTCGAAATATGTTTTTTCTTATTCCTCAGACATGCAGGTTTCCTCACGATGTTTTCCTTCACCGCCGAGCACGTGGTAAATCAGCACTTAAAATTGCAATTAACAATTTCATTGGTGCCGGCGGGGATCGAACCCGGGTTACTCGCGTTCTGTTATATTTACAGCGAGCGTTAACCACTGAGCTACCACGGCTCACAATGCTTTAAAGATATCTAATTTGTCCATATAAGATGAGTAGTTTAGAAGATTTGAAGGAACAGATAAACATACGTACATACTCGTACTTAGCCTTTTAAAATTGTAACCATCTTTTTGGCTTCGCCGTAATTGGGTAAAATATTTTTTTTATAGATGAAGGATGACAAAGGCCACACACACACTCCACCTCATGGTAAGTGGTTGCTGTGGCACAATAGACATCTGTCCTAGATTACGAATCAAAATGCAAGTGATTTGTCATCCGTGTGGACTAAGATTGAATGCCTCTTTTCCAGTAAAAAAGTTTTTCGGTTCGCTACACTCACGTTTTACGCTGGCATTCTGTGAAAGCGTGGTCCTTCCCCGGTCGAGCCGACACATTCGTGCTACAACTATACTACTAATATAGCTGCAATATAGAGCCACACTGCAGCTCAAAAAATTCACTTACATAATCTGCGTCAGTCGGTATCGATAATTGAAGTTGAGACAGGCACTGCATGGTGCAGCACTATTTGTCACCCACACATGCACATTACACGCACACTGGTGAACATTTGAAATAACACATACTTTAGTAGTAATTATTCTTTGGGTGCGTTTGGCAGAAAAAAGCGCTAGCAAGCGCTTGTAAGCAAAATGGCGATCGTAAGCGGTAAGCGCTGTCAAATCGTAAGTAGCTATTTTCCTCTAGGACACGATGTTAGTTTTAACCGGGGAACCTAACCTAATTTAAATATATGTTTGTAAAGTATTCATATTAAAAACTTACCAATCATGATTTTTAATAATATGTATATGTCTATTCATGTCATTATATTACTTAAAAGTAATTTTACACAAAACAACTTTAAACTCTACTTCAAAATAAACAAATTAAATAAGCAAAATGGCGGATTGTGTCAGCGCTACTGAAGTAGCAATCGTGTCCTGGCCGAAAACTATTTTAGCGCTTATAAGCGCTTGCTAGCGCTTTTTTCTGCCAAACGCACCCAGTGGCTACATTATCTACTCTGTGCTGTTTTATAACAAACTATTATACTACTGTATATGTGTTTGGCAATTGACTTTGCTATGAACGTAAACAATTAATATTCTGTTGTATTTTATTTAATGCACTGCACTCCTCCGTAAAATATTTAACTATGGCAAATCTCACACTCATCCTAGCGCGCATAAACTAAGTCTTAGTTCATACATAAACTTCGAAAACTTCGCTTAAAAGTTATATGCGTGTTATGATGTGTATGTAAATTAAAAGTTGATAAATAAAACTAAACTGCGATAGGAAACGGGCACTAAAAGGTTTACAAGAGTACCATGTCTATTTTTAGAATCCTTCAAAGAGAACTAATTTGTTCTAAAAATGTTGTGAGCTCTCCTTAAAGATATTCTGCATTTTTGCTACCTAACTACCTTCTGCTGTTTGTTTATTGATTTCAATGTCAATGGAATGACAACATTCAATCATACTGTAAAAGAGCTTTGGGTTTATAGTGATATTTTGCCTAGGCATAGTTGAGGATCTGTAGGCGACTTTCTATCCTGGAAAATCAAAGAGTTCCCGAACGAGTTTTAAACCAAACCACACACGGGCAAAGTTACGGACAAAAGTATATTTCATATCTTTATTTGTCAAATAATTCAAACTGGAAAAGTATTTCAAATATCTGTTCAAAAAAAGACGCATTTTTTACCTAGTATAAATAGATATCTTAGAAAATACAGAAAAAATATCTCTGTATGATGGATCTCGATTGTCTGATGGACTCGATTGTGACCCATAGACGTCAACAACTAAAATTTGTTGTCACCCCTGAGGACCAGTTCTCTAAGCTCACTAAATGAAACACACCAGTATTAAGTCGCTATTTTACTTGGTTATGGTATTTTACTTGAGTCTTGGTTGATATGGTACGTTGGTAATTTCTCGGTTTAGCCAACCCCTTTCTGCTACGAAAACTGATATACTTAGGCAGAGCAATGTGTGCTAGGTTTTTCCAGTATTTTCTAAAAACTAAAATAAAATAAATGAAACGTGTAGTGGTGCTGTAATAATATCTACTACTCCATATCTTTCCGTGGGTGTCGTAAGAGGTGTCTGGTTGATAATAACTCATAATAATTAAGAACTATTGTTGCCAACTTCTCTGCTAATCGTGCAAAAAATCCCCTATGAGGTAATGTGTGGGGGAGTCTTATGTTCAGCTGTTGCCTTTTAATGCTGTTATAAAATAGATAGGAAAAAAGAATAATAATATTTAATTAAGTAAATTATTGTTCACGTGATATACAATACTGGTAATTGGGTCTCCTATTACGTATAATAACATGTGTCGATGGAGGTTTTAAGGAATGTTTCAAAAAGTGCTGTCTTGAGCCACTAATATTTATTAAATTCTTGTATGTCTTATTAGCAGGTCTTTATTCCGTCTTGTGGAGGATTTCCACTCTATATTAATATGAGTAATTTTATCGGTTTTTTTAGATCATTTTAACAGCTTTCATTGTTTTTTTTAATATTATTAAGCTTTGGTCGCGATAATAAATGGAGAAATTTTCTGCTGGGTAAAGTGTTCAGATCGGTGCCTCCTACAAAACTGTTCTTTTGTTATGATCTGAGAGATGTTGATGTTTGTAGGCGCTGGTGAGCACGGAACTGCAGGTGAGCGAGCAAGCCGCGTGCTTGGACGAGTGCGTGTCTGCGATGCTGCGCTGCGGCGGCGCACACGCCAGCAACGTGCTGCGGACGCTCGTGCGCTGCGCTGCGCTACAGCAGCGCGTGCGCCCGCACGTGGGGCCTGTGCTGCTGCACGCACTCAAGGCCTTCGACGCGCACACCTGGCAGGTGACGCTTTGCTTCTGACTCTTTTATTACATTCTAACTACGAGCTAACGTTACATCTTATCATAACTTACACACAGACACCTCAAGGTCCCGAGTACTAAATGTTGATATGTTATAACAGGTATTTTTGAAACGCTCTCGAAAACGAAGACAGACGGTAGTATTAAGGATACCTTTGACGATTTTTTTACAACGTTTAATTAGCTTTATTCACGCTCTATCATGTTACTACAGCTAAATGAAACGATAGTTTCATACGCATAATAAGTTAGTATGACGGTAATCGCAAAAAAGTGATAATGTATTTACGAATTTGTAACGTAAAACATAGATTAGGTGAATCATAATATGCCGTATGCTTTTATAATTGTAAATAATGGTGCCTTTGGAAGTGACTAGAACAGGCTCGGCCTATTTAGACGCTAGTGTATAAAATTGTATAGATGAGTTATAACTGTTCAAATGTCTTTAAGATAAATAATGTAATCCTTACTTGGTGTCAATAAAAATTATTATTATTATTATTATAGTTTCATAAAAAATCGTGAAAATACCTAAACATAAAACCAGCAGTGAAAGTTAAATACCTGAAATCAGCTGATAAATGGTCAATATACGCGCGACGCTGATCGCCGGCACACAGGTACATGAGTAGATAAACGGAATTATTTACTCATGTGCCGCCCGCAATCGTTCTATTAACTAATAGTTTAGAACACTTGTCTAAATACCTAACTTATCTACTTAACCTACTATTTTGCCACTGTGGTAGTCTCCACCTAGCCACTTGAATTCGAATTTATAGGTTAAATAAACTGAATAGCTGGTTTAATTCTCTAAATAAAAAAAAGTGTATGTATGTTTATTATTCTGATTTTTTTTTTATAGGATAGGGTGACAAACGAGCACACAGTCCACCTGATGATAATGGTTCAAATCTACTATATTCGATTAAAAACGTTGTCACCCGTGAGGAGTCAATGGAATGCCTCGTTTCCATAAAAAGGGCTCGTCCTCTACACTCACATACGAAACACAGCAGCATTAAGCTACTATTTGACGCTGGTATTCTGTGAGAGCTGGTCCCTCCCCGGCCGAGCGACCCATTCGTGCTACAACTATATTACTAATATAACTGCAGCATGGCTCTACCACGTATACTATATTCAGTTATGATATGTTCAGTATGATGTATTCAGTTATGTACCTATTCAGACCAGATCAGTACTAAGTTATTTAAAAAGATTAGGTATGAAACAGCTTACAGATCTAAATCCTTAAATAAACCTGCCCATACGTTAACCGACCATTGGGTTTGGTATTTCTTCGGTCCCACACACACCTTGTATGGGCGCATTCGGTTACGCTTTAACACCTTGTGAACTGTCCAGTCACTGAGTTAAAAATAAAGAAGATAAGCCCGTCAAGACCGAAACTGAGGAGAGATCAGGCGTAAGACCAAGGATTACATGTTTTCTGAGCCACGAAGATGAATACCGTCAACTTCTCGACTCTGGGCCGCTACTTAGAATTTCTTAACAAAAAACCCAATAACTGTTTTGATCCAATTCACGGTCCGAAGCCGGATCCTCATGATCGACAATCGCGTTTACAACCTCTCTGCCAACGGGGCAGTCACACAGTTGACTGACAACATTATACAGTCCACTCAAAACGACTACAGTTATCCAACTAGACCGGCAATGCAAAACAAAAGCTGTGCCACAGCTGCGGACTGCGCGTGTGAAGTAACTGGCACGGTAAACGTACCATGCAGTTTATTTACATTTGTGACGTTTATAGTAAATTTTTGGGAAAATAAGAAATAAAGTTACATGCTTATCTAAAATAAACTTAATATTGCGTTGATAAAATGCGCACATAAATAACAACAGCATTTTCTTGGTCACATTAAACAAAATCAGCGTTAAGGCGCGAATCGATTACCACCACCAAAGCGGAACCACCGCGCCGACGAACGTGTTCCAAATGTTTCATGTATATCTACGAAGGCAGCGGTTCAAGTGATTGACCGTTCAACATGGATGTGATTTTTAAATAGTGGTAGAGCTATGCTATAGCTATATTATGGTTGTACCTCGAATAGGTCGGTTCCACTGGGGGAGGACCACGCTCTCACAGAATACCAGCGTAAAATAGCAGCTTAACGTTGCTGTATTTCTTATGGTGAGTGTTGAGAACCCCCGTCTAGTAGTATAAATAGAAGTCTTTGTCTGCAGCTCGAATGTGTCTTCTCGACCGGGAAATTCTCGCGCTGCAGGGTACCAGCGAAAAATAGCAGCACATTGCTGCTGTGCTTCTTATGTTCAGTGATGTGAACCGCGGGCTTTTTTACTGATAGGCTTTCCACCTTATCCTTGAAAAGACAACGCATTTGAATTGTTATTCTAAACTAGTGACGTAGTGTAAGAGTATCCATTAGCCCACATCGTCCCGCGGGTGTCGTAAGAAGCGACAAAGGCAAACAAACCAGAAGATGTGCAACAGCGTCTGTCTCATCATCATCATCATCATTACAGCCCTTCACAAGTCCACAGCTGAACATAGGCCTCCCCCAAGGTGGATGCCACAAAGCACGGTCCTGAGCCACCTGCATCCATCGACTTCCCGCATGTCTTACCAGTCGCTCACTCCATCTAGTGGGGGGTCGCCCTACACTTCACCTACCGGTACGAGGCTGCCACTCGAGAACTTTTTGCCGTCTGTCTAATAACAGCTAAATAAAAACTGCGGATGCCTACCCACCGTCCAAACGTGTCCACTGTGGCAAATTTTCCCCATATAAATCTTGTCCGTCTAGTAGAATATTAATGTCCTTCAGACCGATTTCAGTCATGGCGGATAGTCTCAACAGAGCCTAGACAAGCACAGGTGCATTCTCTATTCCATCACTCTCATAGTCCGATGGGACAGTAAACCGACACGACGGGAGAGAGACCAGGCGCAGGGCTAACGAGTTAACGTGCTTTCCGATGCACGGAGGTGAAACACAGAGAAGTTCTTGACTCCGAACTCCTACTGAGAATTTCTTATCCAAAAATCACAATAACTGATTTTATTGGCGCGACTCGAGTTCGAACCTGGGACCTTTCGATCAGCAGTGGCGCTACGACCATCCGACCAATAACGTAGTCAAAGTATACATACACACAAGTCCAATAGAGATACATGTCTAGCAATATACATAGCGATGTTTGGTTACACGTGTGCAGGAGAGGAACTCTGCAACGCTGCTGCTGAGTGCTCTGGTGGTGCGCGTGTTTGGTGTGGCTCGTGCGAGGAGTTCGGAGCACTTGTCCAGCAGGAACACCATGACCGGCAGGATGTTCTTCCTGCGCTACCCACAACTCTACGACTTTATGCTGGTCAGTGCTTTCTTTTTCAACTTACCCCTTACCAAAAGCTTTATTTTGAAACTTTCTTGTAGAATCGGCTATCACCAGCGATTTTACCCGACTGATACAACTTAAACCATTCCCATATTATAAATGTATGCTTTCTCTATTTAAAAACATTTCGATATCTTTTCAATCAAGGCAGTTCACGTCAATAGAACACTTAGCACAATTTATTGAATTAACTAAACTAACTTCAAAACCATTTAAATGATAATTTTTTGTATAGAGGTTATGGCGACACACAGCTCACCTGCCAGTAAATGGGTCTGTAATCCATAGACACCTATGTACGACCTATGTACACCTATGATCGATATAGATTTACTTATAATATTTTATATCAATATCGATACCTAAAGTTAAAAAAGTTAAGTTACAGCCTATATACGTCCCACTGCTGGGCACAGGCCTCCCCTCATTTCTGAGAGGGTTTTAGGGCAAGGCAGTGTCCGCCGCGCTGGCCTGGAATATATTTTTTTCTTATTCTTCAGACATGCAGGTTTCCTCACGACGTTTTCCTTCACCGCCGAGCACGTGGTAAATCAGCACTTAAAATTGGAATTAACAATTTCATTGGTGCCGGCGGGGATCGAAGCCGGGTTACTCGCTTTCTGTTATATTTACAGCGAGCGTTAATCATCTGAGCTACCACGGCTCTATATCATATCTATATCGATATCTATTTTAAAATAATTTTTATATTATTTGTTTTGTAAACCGTATAGTAGCGATATAAGAATATCCACCAGCCCATATCGTTCCGTGAGACGGCGACGGAGGGAAATTGAAGCAAGTGGTGTGCAGGAGCATCTTCCTGATTACAACTCAATATGATAAAAAACTGCGGCAGCCAGCCCGCTCGCCGAGCGTGCCAACTGTGGCAAAACCTGAGGCAATATGCGGGGGAGATCTATATTCAGCAGCGGACTTCTATAGGCTGTGATGGTGGGATGGATAATATTTGTATATACACTGGATGACTTTTCTACCGTCTGGAAAAACATATGGTGTATCGTGTGAACGGAGTAGGAGCTTGTGGCACTGATATTTTATAATAAATAAAAACAAACATTTTGAGCATTTTGAATTAAATGAATTTATTAGTTAAAATCTATCGAAATTCAAATCATATCCACCCTACTTTACGATCGGCAATAAAACATTTAATTTAGTCCCCTTTGTCCTTGAATCACAGGCTCAGGGGCAAAGGGCAAAGTAATTGTACAAAATAATTGTTCTAAAAAAATTCAAACGTTTAATTCAAAATTTTTGTTTTTATTTTTTGTAAAATATCAGTGCCATAAGCTTCTACTCCGTTTACATGTTACAACCTTTTATTTTCTAGACGGTAAGAAAGGTCATCCAGTATAGGATATTTGACCGCGTAGTGACGGTGTAAGAACATACACTATCCCATATTGTCAGGTGGACCGTAACAGGTGACAGAGAAAAACAAACCAGGAGATGGGCAGCTGCGTCTCCCTAATAACAATTAAAATTGATATTTTATATAATTCGTAAATGACAAAATTGTAACGCCATCTGTCGATAGCGACAACGTATAATAGCATTTACTTTAGTTAGCTCTTATGACACCTACAGGAAAAATTGGCGTATTGGGCTCGCTTATACCCCTATAAATAATTCCATAACCCTTTTAAAAATGTGAGTAGTTCTGTACCCCAACAGGGGGACATACGTTAGTAGTTAGTCATGTTAACGGGAGCGGTGGAGGTATTTTTAAAATCTAAAATAAAACTAATAGAACTCACACGAAGCTCATGTACTCTAATAATGATAAACTTATTCTCATACATCTTTCATGCAGACCAAATTACATTTGCTTACTCATAGTAATGTGTTGCGCTATGGGCCACACACAGCGTGTAAAGTCAGCAACAGCATATATATGCACATATTTGTATCACTGTGTGGGGTTAAATCCATGAATCCATGACTAGAGTTATCTTCTTTATCATCTGCCTGCGCAGTTTACTGCTAGATGCCATACGCAGATCGTCGTCTCGTCGATAGACGTTTGTCCAGATTGCTTCATTTACTCAGAGAACGTCCCATGTTGCGTTCAACTAAGCGCAGTCTCCACTATGACACGTTTTATCCAACGGATATCTAATTATCTCAAACAATAATAATTTTTGATTAGCTGATAACACTTCCACAGGAGAAACTACAAGAAGCGAGTGGAAACGAGGATGCCCAGTTGCTCACGCCGTCCCTCTACCCCATTCTTCTTCTGCTGGCCAGACTCTATCCGTCTGCTCTAGAGGGAACCGTCTCCAATTTGAAGGTAAGATAATTCAAAAAATAAATAATCATTTTATTTCGTATCTTGATGCATTTAAGTTGTCATCATTGCTTGATTTTCATCGATTTATCGGATGTCCTGTTTCAAGACCCAATATGTTTTGATATTTGCCGCTTCTTTTGATATTAGCCGGTTTTATTATTTAACTTTACATAACACGATTTGTCGTTTCGGTGCAGTAGGTTATCACAATGTATGAGACTATATGAAGACGAATTTTAATTTGTTATTGGCGGAAACGGCATGAATTGAACGTCAACAATCGGTCGCCGTAGCATCAAATCAAATAATTTATTGTGCAGCATAGGTTACAGAATGTCTTATTATTTTTTAACGACCTACAACATCTTGTAATGATAAAGATCTATTAATGTGATGTTATTTAAATTCAAGATAATTAAAGACAAATATTTATACATTTTTCGTTTAAAAATAAACTAAGTATTCCGGATAAAATATAGTCTATATCACTCCTGCTCCTGGCATTACTTCTCTATCTGCTCGCGAAGTTTTATTACAATCGGCTGAACCATTCCGAAGAACAGCCCGGATACACGGACACAATATTTAAAAATGTATGTATTTATTGCTTAATGGCGTGCAAATAACAGTAAATACCACAGACAACCCTATTTATATGTACAGATTACACGTTAGTATCACTATATCTGTCTAATGTACGGACAATAATTTAATAAAAATCTGTTTAATTTAGTCATTAAAATTATTAATAACATTCGTATAATATTCATCCATTAAAAACAAATTCAAATGTCAATATATTTAAATTTTTAAAACTATTTAATATTTTTTGTAAATAATAGTTCGCGCATAATCGTGTCCACACATTTAACCTGATGGTAAGTGGTTGCTGTGGCCCATAGACACCTACATCTATCCTCCATTAGGAATCAAAATGCAAATGCGTTGCCACCCCTGTAAACAAACCTCCTCTCTTCTTTTTTAGTAAAAAGGGTCTCCGGTTCTCTACATTTATCGTATGAAATGAGTAATATAGAACACGGCAACATTGACCTGGTTTTTCACGTTGATGTTCAGTGATAGCATTCTGATAATAATATAGCTGCAGCATGGCTCTACAACGTATGTTCCGATTTCCAGCTGGCTTGCTTCATCGGACCCGTGGTATCGTGTGCACGGAGCTCGGTGCTGAAGACCAGGCAGCTGGCTGCCAGGGCCATAGTGCCACTTATATCGCCTAACTTGTGAGTTTTAACTTTTCTACCTCAATTTCAGTTATTGCCATGTAATAAGTAATAAAGTCAAATAAGTGTTTTACTCATTGGTTCATAGATAAATAAATATGTAGCAAGCTACAGATACGACAGTGACTTTTAGTCAAGTTTCCCAAATACGCCTTTTGGCGCTGCAGTCGCCCAATTTGACAGATGAGTAATGACTATACAATTTAGTATAGCTATGTATAGCTTAGGGATTGCAAGCACACATCCTTCAAACTATCGATATCGATGTTTAGTGGTGTTCTCATTTTATCGATATCGACATAAGTGCATTATACAGGAATAATAATACTTAATGAAACAATTATAATAAATCTAACTTATTTATTTTTCTTGAAGCACACCAACATCATATACATACAAACGTAATCTTAGGATTAAATTAAAGGCACATTAAGTTATATAAACAAATTAGAAAATTGTGCATAACATTTTACATAAATAAGTACAATTTGACGAGAAACAGAGCAATATTTATAATTCATTAAATAAAGCAAATTAAACCACAGGAATCATTAAGTGCTTAATATTTTACTTTTCAAGTTATTTTTTATTATAAGCAATGCTATTTATTTTTCATCTGGGGTACACCTGACCATTCTTTTACAAAAATTAAAAAAACATCTCTTCTTTAATTTCATTTTCTACACCACGTAACCTGAAAAGAAATAAATAAAAATAAAGTCAAATAACAACAGTAAACAACAAGTAAAATAGATAATCATAAACTATATATTATTTACATTAAGGTAACAAAGGGTGGCTTCATGGCAGTTGGCATTTTTTATCAGTCAACCCATGGTGTGGTGAAATAAAGTGGTAGATGCAGTAAATAAGAGCTTTCTCAATGTCTTCAGGCACGGAGTTCCAAATAAGTGTAACCTTAATACTAAAAGAGTTGTTGATAAAACCATTGAAGTGTAGTGGAACTGTAATCTTTAGATTAGATGAAGAACAACGAACTCTTATCGTGATTTGAGTATAGATATGCTGAATATAGATATAATGGATATGTTATCTTATCTTACCTAATTATGTCTAAGAATAAACTGAATTTATCATACCTTTATGCCAATGTGTACATTTTGTTATCTTCTGGCAACATTTGTCTCACCACATCAGCATTAGATTTCTATTCCTGAAAACAAATAATATTTGTGAATTTTATGTTCTTATACATACACCCAAAATTAAAGAATAAATATATTCAAATTCAAATTCAAATTCATTTATTTATTTGTGAATACAGTAAGTTAGGTGTTATAAAAATTTACAGTAGGTACCGTGTATTCTACCACAGTGTGGTGTACAAATATATTTCTTCACGTTATAGCCAATAACAGCAAAATGGAATACTATTAAAATTGATTGCAAATTATAAAAATACAATAATCATATTTGTAGGTGGTATTAAATATTCACAAAAATGTTATATATTATAAGTGAAAGCGTCTTGCAATGATACCCATGACACATAACACATTTCGTAATGGCGCCTTTACGTCTATATTGAAAAAAAAAAGAAAAAAAAAGGTGAAGTAAATAAAAATGTCATCTTTTCAAATTATTATTACTATTATTAAATACACGAGTCAATAATAAATACTGCATCTTAAGCTAATGTCACGTAAGTAAACTATATATATATATATATATATATATATATATACATAAAAAAAAAGAGATCAAAAATGTCGATGTCATCAGGTTATCATAATATCATGTCAAATGTATAATATGTGGTATGTCAAATCAAATATAAATATTATACTATTATGTATACCAAAACAATCATTTAATTTCTATGTCATTAAGGTATTCATTAATAGAATAGTAAGATTTAGTAATTAATAATGTTTTTAATGATTTTTTGAAGCTTTGTATATTATTTATTTTCTTTATGTCATTAGGTATTTTATTATATATAGGTATGGATAGGCAAAATATACTTTTTCGCATTATTGCTGACTTTGATTGTCGAACTTTTAATCTCAGAGGATACCTTCTATTATTTAAATTTTCAAACAGTGGCAGGTTTCTATGGACAAACACAGCCGTCTCATAGATAAAAAGACAGGGAAAAGTTAGAATTTGCAGCTCTTTAAAATGTGGTTTACAGCTGTCTGTCCAGTGTAGATTTTTGATTGCTCGAATACACCTTTTTTTGAGCTTTGAATACCTTTTCCCGATTCACTGAGTTTCCCCAAAACATTACACCATATCTAAGTGTTGACTCAACGTATCCAAAATATGCTATACGAAGTGTTTGCGTATTTGCTCTTTTATTTAACTTATACAAGGCATATGAAAATTTATATAATTTACTGCAAACACTATCGACCTGTGCCTTCCAGTTCAGTTGGTTATCAATGATAATTCCTAAAAATTTAGTTTCTATCGTTTCATAGATTGGTGAATCTTTATAATTAATATTAAAACTTGATAAACTATCTTTTTGCCAATTAAATTTCATAATTTTAGTTTTTTCTAAATTTATATTTAAGTTATTTTTTACGAGCCAATCAATTATAAGACCAATGGAATTGTTAATCTCAATTTCATAGCTTTGGGTATTATTGCCTTCATAAACGACCGTACAATCATCCGCAAAAAGGACCATAGATTGTTGTATCACCGATGGAAGGTCATTAATGTACAAAAGAAACAGGAGTGGACCCAAAACGCTTCCTTGTGGAACGCCGTAGTACACAGCTCGGGGTGTCGATCGATAAACCTTTTTCTGTCAACTTTATAGGACATATTCTCCTTATTTCAGTAATCTGCGTCCTGTGTGTAAGATATGACTCAAAAAGATCTAAAACTGTCCCTCGCAATCCATATTGATGTAATTTTCTTATTAATATTTTGTGATCCACAAAGTCAAAAGCCTTAGTCATGTCCATGTATAGCGCGGCCACAGGTATTTTTTTGTCTATACATGTTATAATTTTGTTGAGCAGGTCATAAATTGCCGCGTTTACAGATTTATTTTTACGAAATCCTTTTTGCTCATTTACGAGTATCTTATTATCTTCGAGATATTTATTTAAACGTTTATATAAAACTTTTTATATATATATTGTTTTATATATATATGTTATACTTCTGTATTGTATGTATTAATGCTGTATGGCTACTGTTAACAATAGTTTAGTATAATGGTAATTAAAAGTGATCTATATTATCATATAACTAAGTTATATGGCAATTGTATGTGGTAGAGCCATGCTGCAGGTATATTACTGTTATAAACAATTTGTTATTTAGAATTTTATTATAGCTAGTTGTGTAATTTAATTCCCTTTATAATTTTGATTAATTATGATCAATATAGTGTAATCATACTTTAAATTAATGCCAATGTAACACTTAACTCTATAAATATATTGAACTTATTTAAGAATATTTTGACTTCAACCTTTTGTAATTAAACTATTAATAGCTTATGTACCTACATCTTAAAGCTAAACTAATATTATTTCATGAAGACTGCTATATACCTAGTTTTGTTGTTAAATACAAGTACTTACTATAACTAAGATTAAACCAAAAATATACTAAATATACCTTTTTATATCAATCCTATATAATAAGTTTTAATAGGTATAAAAAGGTAATTATAATTATCTCAACCCACCAAAGAGCTAGATAGAAAAACAAATCTATAAAAAAGTAATTTGTAACAAATCATTTACTCTGATTCGTACTGCTAACTCGAGTTGCGTGAATTTCAATTCGAGTTAAATCAATTCGTAATTTTTCCAAGTTGGCACATCTATAAGATCAGAATTCCTAATATTCACTTCACTTAGTTGTTGTTGTTTTAACTTTCATTAATCGTTTCACCATATCGTTTCATTATTAACCACAGCTTTTTTGGTGATTTTTTACTGATCCTGCATTTATATATTTAAGTAATTATAGTGAAAAATAGCCTGTAACTGTAATTATAGTGAAAAATCACCTGTTACAGTGCAACCAATAGATAATCTCACTTTTACTTATTCTACAATAACTCAGTTCCTACATTGACAAATCTTGCGAGATTTTCAGCTATGAATTGTCTATACAGTATATGCTTACAAATGGTCTTACTTTTATCTTGTTAATACTTAGGCCCAAGAATGTATAGAGACGTGTCCTTCTCCTTTAAGTACCTACCATGGTTGAAAGTAATAAAATGACTCACCTGTTGCAGTCAGAGGCACACCATGAGCTATTTCATTGTCAGTAAGCAAGGACGGGTAAGAGTATCGAAGTCTTCTGCCTTCATTGTCGAACTGAAATATATCAAAATGTTTTTCACAGACACGTTTGTTAAGTAACTGTTCTTTGGAAAGTACAATGAGCTGGGGATTTGTCGGCACTATGAAAGACATCCACAAGTTTCTTAAATTATCGTTCCTAGGGAATCTGAAAAGCCGGTGCGCGCGTTTCACGTGTTGTATTGCAACTACCAATACAACACTTTTCGTATACCATTATGATGGTATACGCAATGTTCACACGAGCAGCACAAAAACATAATATTGTAATAATTGAGGAAAATTTGGATAAATAATGGCGGCAATCAATATCGATAATTTTGATTTTTGACAATTTGATTTGATTTTGACATTAACACAATATGGCGTCTCAAAATGGCGTCCGTAGACAGAGGAAAAATTGCGACGGTAGCGCCAAGTTGCGTAGAATGGAACTAAGCTGTCACGGGCCTGCATTGGTTCAATACCCTCTATAAACTTTCCATTATCCCCTATAAATTGCGCAAGGGTTTTTGCCAAAGCTGCCATGGTTTGCAGAGGCGGGTTTGGAATAGCTTTTTTTATAATGTGGCCACTACTTAATAATAATAATATTATATTTTTACGAGCTTTGGGTTCGTGACAATAAAAACTACCGATTCAATTACCAAAATTAACACTTTAATTATCGAACACCAATTACATCTTAAAACACATTAATAATAAAACACAATTGCACTACTGATCACTTTAGTTCACAGTTGTATCGCTTCGAAAAGCATTCACTTGATCGGCCAATTCAATACTGACCCGGGTTGCAGTCGATACCTGTCTAATATAGGGCCTCTCCTACTGAAACATCTAGAATGTTCTAGTACATAGCGGTACCGACTGACTACGTGTAGAAAGTTCTGGCATGGAAATTTCTAAAAGGATCTCGACTCTCCTGGTTCTGTTACTCGATACTAGAGGGGGCTACTGGTAACTAATGTCTCCATGTACCAGGCGTTAATTATGGCGCGCAACAATATTATTAATAGAGTAAATCTTTCAAAGAGATGCTGTGTTCCGGTTTGAAGGGTGTAGAGTCAGTATAATGAGGCGTTCCATCTCAGTCCTGACAGGTGACGACGCATCTGTTGCCTTCTTTATTGGAAGTTGGCTGCAGGGGTCCATGTGAATTCATGCTTTGAAAAATAAAGTTATTCTGCAACGAAAAGGCAATGTGTTTTAATAGCTATCTCATTGAAGAACAAAGTCATGAAAGCAATTTCTTCTCTCATCTTACAGATACATACCTCATATAGAAGAAATGCTTACTTTAATCGCCGACAAGAAGATCAAAAGGAACTTCTGCCACGGTATACTCCTGCAGGTCAGTTGAATTGCAACTACTAGATCCTTCTGGACTAAGGGGCTGTGTTTTAAAAGTTACAGTTATCTTCCTTAACATCAGCCCTTAAAAGCCTACTACTAGATAATCGTTTTTTTTACGTGGTAGAGTCTATATTATGGCACGCCTGTCACACAGAGGGGTAGGCAGAGACTACGGATTTCCATTTAGCACGATCCTGACACACCTCACTCGCCTAATTTACATCCATATATCTACGCATACATGCTCGTCAGTAAAGGGTAATTCTAATGTGGCCCATTTTCAAAACATCGCCAATTAGGTCGATAAACTTTCGTCTAGGGCGTCCCTTCCCGATTCTGCCATTCACACGTGCCATATAAATTTGCTTTGTCACTCTTTCCACATTCATTCTTTCTACATGAACAACAATCACACAACATCATCTTGCATACTACATTTTTCTCTTATCACACAATTTCTCATCCTGTCATTCAGATTCAGCCCTAACATACTCCTTAACGACCGCATTTCTACTGCATTTATTCTACTCTCGTGCTTCTTCTGCCACACCCAACTTTCACTACCATATATTAAATTAGGGATTAACACAGCATTGTGAATTACCATACGTGCCTTTTTTGACACATTCTGACTCTTCATAATAGAGTGTAGAGTTCCTGCATTCACTCGTCGCTCTATACCCAAACTCGTCGCTATATACCATCCCTGCTAAATACACATCCCAAATATACGAACTCATCCACTTGCTCAATCAACTCCCCTTCTATTTTTATTTCACATAACGTTTTAATTTTTTCTCTTTCAAAAACCATCACTTTCGTCTTACTTGCGTTCACTTTCATCCCCCCTTCTTTTAATGCCCAGTTCATTAATGCAACCATCATTTGCAACTCAGCCGCTGATGATGCAAATTTAGTTTATTACGCATTGGTGGAGTCAAGACTACGTTACAGTATTTTATTCTGGGGAGGGAGCTTTAAATATAATGTACACAAAGCCTTTGTTCTGCAAAAAAGGGCAATCAGAACCATAGTCCGAATTAAACAGCAAGAATCATGTCGCATGCATTTCAAAAGACTTGGAATCTTGACTGTTCCATGCCTGTATATACTGGTCTTACTTACACAATTTGCTAAAATTATTGGTGATTATGGGACTAAAGACCAAAAAACCATAAGGGAAAACACCAGGAGAAAAGACTTTCATAATAAAATCATCCCTCGTATAGTTATGACTAGACACTCTTCTCATTATCAATCAGTGCTTCTGTTTAATAGATTACCTATTGATTTAAAAAATATGTTATACAAGAGTAGCTTCAAAAATACTTTAAAAAAGTTCCTACTGGAAAAATGTTATTATAGTGTTGACGAGTTTCTACATGCTAATGCTATTACATAAAATTCAACGTGTTTTTAACTTTTGATGACATTTTAAGAAATAATTGAATTTTTTTTTCTGTAACAAATGTATAGTCCGACCGCTGAGTTATTATCGATTTGACACATGACGAATTGACAATACTAGTGAAGTGACTGAACCAGTAACCCTAATATCATTTGGGAACAGTTTGTTTTTAAATATTCTAGTATAGTGTGTAATTAAATAAAATCAAAACAATAATAGTTAAAGACACAGGTTCTTTATTAGGTGGAGTATCCTTGATGGGCGTAGATAATTGGTCGAGGACATATCAAAATAAAAAAATTTGTAAACACTGTTACACATTTTAATGAATAGAGTAGGTACAAGATGTTTTAATAAATGCCTACCTATCATTTATTAAAACAATTATTCAGACTCTGAACCCGATTCGCCAGAGCTGTCATCGCTATCAGTCACTTGTATGACAATTTCATTCTCTATAATGGTGTCCACTCTTATATCGCGTTCATAATCTTCTGTTATTAGTTTTCGAGTCTTTTCGACGACCTTCACCCAATCTTCTTTCGTTATTTTGCTGCAAGCATCTTTTAATAGACCCATCATTTTATTAGTACTGAATGGCGGAGTCGTATTATTACGAGCTGCGTAACCTGTAATGTAAACATTAAATAACGTTAATTTATTACATTAAATAAACGAAATGTTACACAATTACCTACATGTAAGGGACATGAGATATTTATTTCTTAGTTATGTATCTTTTTACTTATATGCTGAATATTGGATGTTATAATAGTACAAATTATTCATATTCATAACTTATGCGATAAAAAACAATACCTTTGATTTGTGCCCATATTAGCTCAATGGCATTGTACTGGCAGTGATAAGGCGGAATTCGAAGTACCCGATGTCCATGTGCTAGAGCTATCTCATCTACTTCATAACGGACTCTTGATGTTTTATTTTCGCGTACCAACTTTACTAAGTCAGACTTTAGCATTTCGGCAGTAGTTTCAATTCCATTTTGGTGTAGCCATGCTACGAGATCAGCTTTCTTGTCGGCCTGAGTAGGCGCTTTATTCACTTGTTTCGAGTGATATGAAGCGTTGTCCATTATTATGATAGAAGGCTCTGGCAGGCTGGGTAATAATTGATTTTCGAACCAATTCGTAAAAGTGTCTGTATCCATCTCCTCGTGGTAATCGGAAGTACTTTTTGACGCGAAATACAGCAGTCCATTTTCAAAGAAACCACTTCCAGCAGAACCGGCGTGACAAATTATCAGTCGCGATCCTTTTCCAATTGGAACCTTTGTGGTTGATGCTTTTATTTCGTCAGTCCAAGAGCGTGACACAGTGTGGTTCGCATTTAACCATGTTTCGTCAACAAAAACGACGTTGTCCCAAGACTCGATTTTTCTGGCTTCTCTTAAAAACTCGCTCCTTTTAATTATTAAATCAAATCTTTCCATTAATATTTTCCTTTTATTCGTTTTTTTATATTCAAACCCAATTTCTTGCAATAGTTTTAACAACGCCGTTTTACCGCCTTTAAACAAGCCAGCTTCTTTTAAAGAGACCAAAAGCAAACGTCTAGTTGGAAACTCGTTCCTAGTATAATAACCATATATGTGATTTCTTATTGCATCTGCATCAAAAACATCAACACCTGTCACCTTTTGTCTTCGTTTTTACTTAGGAGTGCGTAAAACATTATCTTCACTTCCAGAAGCACCAAATTTTTCTTTATTTATATTATATAGTGTTTTTGCACCAATTCCAAGAGCTTGTGAAACCCGATCTTTCACTTGAGTGACAGGAATCAAAGGGCCGCCATTTTGTGACTCACGCTCAAAGTAATCCTGTAGCTTTAGTACAAGCTCACGACATTGACTATTCAATGTTTTTCCTCGTTTCGGCATTTTCAACAAAATTACCAAACACAAACAAAATTAGTCCAATAAAGCGCAACGACAAACAGGAGAAAGCCGAAACAAAAAACAACGGTTACACAAGAGAACGTAGTCTGTGCACGAGAGTACGGAAGACGACTAAACAGATTAAAATAGCGGTGGTAAGGGTGTTGCCAGAATAGTATCGCCAATTACTTAAAAAAATACACCTATAACATTGCTTAATTGAGTTGTTTTATATATTATGAATGTTAAAAATTATACATAATCATTTTAATTGTATTTATTTTTAAATCATAGAAAACAGTATTTCTGTCTTTGGATCACACATAAATCTTAAAAATCATAGAGATACTGGCAACACAGTGCAATTAGGAGACGCAAAAAAATGGTAGCATTATAGTCTAGTTGCTCGAAGGAATAAGTAAAATAAAAATATCCAAATAAAATAAATATCATATCTATTCCAATGAATTCGGACCGAATACTATCAAGCACATCACTATGAAAACTAGACGCACGATGTAACTTTGTACAAGCGCGCCAAAGAACAAAAAATAAATCTTTTCATATTATTTACAAACTATTTTAAGTTTTGAAACAGAGTTTATTGGAAAATTACTTGATTCTGACATTTTGACATAAAGTTTTATATTAAAGAGGTATTCTAAATCATTCGGCAAATGTGTCGCTCGTGCAAGGTTATATCGATTCGTTTAAGAATAATCTGTCAAATCGGTAATAACTCAGCGGCCGTACTATAGTTTTTATTTTTGTGTGATATTTAAAACTTTAAATTTTATTGGTAGTGGTGAGATTCGACTTGAAATTTTTATTGTAATTTTATAGTTATTGACATTTTATATAATTTAATGGAGAAGATAACAAGGTTACAATATTAGACTTTTAAGTACGTAGGTAAAATGTCTAGACCAAACACATAATTCTAGTTTTTATTTCACATCGATCGGTGCACTATTACCGAAGTTAAAAGCGTGGAAAGTTTACGTACATTTTTAAAATCTTGCCTGTGCCCGCGAGTAGCGCGTGACGTCATTGATTCCATGCGGCCGCTCCGCCATACCGTTCCAGCGCGCCGATCATACGTGTGTAGTAATATTTGACGGGTGAGTTGTTTGCCCTCGTGCGTTCTGGTGTTTTTAAGTATTCAATGATGAAAGAAGGGTTTCAAAAGGGTCAATCTGACAACCTTCCAATAGTCCGTGACATGATGGTGGCGGAATATTTTCTAAGAAACAAAGATTTTGTCGCGGCTGAAATACGCATAAGAATAAGATAATATTTTTATAACATAGGTATTATTACATTAATACTTCTGGGTTTCATTTGCTAATGATAAGAATAGGTATAACAAAAATACGTAAACATTCCTTACCTACCTACTTACTATGTACCTCTAACTAGTTTTGTTTTCTCTTCTTAAGTGCACCCTGACCTTTTTGTGGTTTTTATGGTTTAAAAAAATTTCCTGTTGTTTATAAAGGAATTTACTACAAATATACCTTCGGTGTATAAAAAATAAAAATATGATTTTATCTAAAAATAAGATGTTTTCAATATTAATAGAAAAAGGGTCGCATTATTATTATGATTAAAAGCGTAGTTATATATTCTCTAGGCAAGGGATCAATGTCAATATTATCATCTAGAGTAGTAACAGGATCGACAACATATC